TCGGGTGGAAAGAACATGGACAGATAGGTGGGAACTTGATGCGCGAGTGGAGAATGTAGTTCGGGTGGAAAGAACATGGACAGAAAGGTGGGAACTTGATACGCGAGTGGAGAATGTAGTTCGGATGGAAAGAACATGGACAGTAAGGTGGGAACTTGATGCGCGAGTGGAGAATGTAGTTCTGGTGGAAAGAACATGGACAGTAAGGTGGGAACTTGATGTACAAATGGAGAATGTAGTTCTGGTGGAAAGAACATGGACAGTAAGGTGGGAACTTGATGTGCAAATGGAGAATGTAGTTCGGGTGGAAAGAACATGGACAGAAAGGTGGGAACTTGATGCGCGAGTGGAGAATGTAGTTCGGGTAGAAAGAACATGGACAGCAATGTGGGAACTTGATGCGCAAGTGGAGAATGTAGTTCGGGTGCAAAGAACATGGACAGCAATGTGGGGACTGACAACTGTGTGAGTCTGAAGTCTAGCAGGTCTGTAGAAAGCAACTGATAGAAGGCCGTGATTTCTCATGATGGCGAATCTATAACTAATACCCCAGCACCAGCAGTCACTTTATAACAAACCCTCTTCTGTTAATGTCAAAGCTTGAAAAATAACCCAGCAGCATACACAGTGCCAAAATCACTGAGTTGCATGCAAGCTCTGATGGAGAAATTCTGAATGAATACTTTACTTGAGTATAATTTATTTCTGTTTCCTAACAGGATCTCACAACACTGTTGATAATTTTAGTATCTGAAGTATCAACATGTAAAAGTGACAACAGAATTGTTTGAAATCAATAGTTTCACATTCCATTGTGATAAATAATCAAATAAACCCTTACAGCAATATCCCAGATGCGAGTAGAAATAATCTTGATTTATGTCATTAAAAATCCAGTCAAACTGATGTCATATTTGGAATGTACATGTAAAATTACATTTAAAAATGTGGTTTTGAAAAGAGTTTATCAACTATGAAAATTTAATTTTCTTTGAAAATGTGACTTCTAGGTCGGGGAGATTCCCCATAGACCCCATGTTGTAAAACCACAAAAAGTTAAATATCTTTTCTTGTGTTGGGCAGATAATATTTTCTTTTACTGGACATATTTTAATTTGTATAAGTATCAGAATCACAAGGGTAATATGAAAAGACAACCACTAAAACTGATGCATATTCAAGTTAAAGGGAATTTTGTAATACCCTGCCATGTTAATTCCCCCGAATCAGCCACCTGGTGGCGAAACTGGTTACTACCTACTCGCATCTGAGTAATTGTCTTGTAAAGTAAACATAACCTGGAATAAAACATCATATCAGGTAGATTCAAAAGGAAATATGGAATAGTAAGGATCTGCGTGATAGATCTAAAGTACGTAAGAACTCTCAATATATAAAGATGCTGGAAAATTAAATATTCTTTAAAATTTAGGTAAATTAGATTTCTTTGGAATAAATATAGTTGGTGATATTTATTGTTATTAGTAAATTGTTGCTGTCACGAATTTTGACTGTTTATTATGAGATGAGGAAAAGATGAAAGAATTCAATGAATTTTTCAAAACTTCCCTTTTCCTTAATCATTAATTTATAAGTAATAAAGACAGTTCAAGGGCCTAAGATATGTCTATGTTTGATTAGATGCTGTATAAGTGGTAATTTTGCCTAATCATTTAATTTGCCTATTTCCTAATTTTTGCCAGGTTCGGAAAATTAAATGTTGGAAATATTGTCTTTATAATGTTATCCAATGGGAGGTTTCTTGTAATTAGGGAAATTAAAATTAGGAAAATGATGAAATTTGACCATTCGGAAAATTAACCACTCGGATTAAATACCACTTATACAGTATTTAGAATCATAGTTAATGATAACAGTTCAAAAATAATGGCAGACAAGAAGAAATCGTGCTAAATGGCTTGGGCTTTTTATTATATTGTAGATTTCCTTACTTATCTTATGTAAACTTGTCCCAAAGATATGTGGCTAATTTTGGGAATTAATAATTTTAATTTATTAATTAACTTTTGTATTTGGTGTGATAGGGGACGTGTCTCTCTGTAAAACTATTTGTTTTGGTAGCGAATGGTGAGCCCACACCACCACACTGCCTTAAAGGTGACAGCTCCATATTAAAGTGCTAGGAGTTCGTTCATTCACCTCTATATTGTAAGCTTCAAGTTGATGACATTTAAGCTTATGTTAGCCTATATGTCACCCTTACAGGTCATTATAGTCTTTATTTATCATTATTTATTATTTAATAGCCAAGCTAGAGGCCTCACATGGCCATTATCTTCATCTTCATTCAATCAGCTTGCATTAGTCGCATTAAAGAGCATGAGAAGATTATTTTGTTTTGAATTGAAAAAAAGTCACTTTGATTCATCTTTAAAACTAATATAAGTCAATAATCTATACATTTTCAATAGATTTTTTGATTTTGATCATTTAAAACAGAACATCATTTATATACTCTCAGAGGGTAGTAAGTATTGCAAATTCACTTCTAGCCTCTGTGTATTAGGGTGGTACTCACTCAATGGGGAGGGGGGGTTAAGCTATACCTGTCATTGTGTTTCGGAGAACTTGATAAACTCTTAGTATTATGACCCCCAGGGATTACTGTGCCACTCTCAATTGTTAGCTCACATGGTGAGCTATTGCAGTCACTCACTCGTCCGTCTGTCTGTCATAAAAAGTAGCACGTTTTAAAACCTCTGTCAATAGGATTCCTGTTATTTCTGTTCATTTTTTCTTGGGACAATTTTGAACTGTTTCCTTATACCTTTAACTCAATCATGCAAGTAAATACGGTAAAGTGGAGAACTTATCTGTAGACAACCATAATTCTATACTCTGTAACTTACCCTCCGTGTCAGCAGCAATACTCTGTATGTTATACTATTAATTCAGGTGCGGAATATCACTTTTAGTGATAACATTTTGATGATATCAATATTATTGCTAAAAGTGAAAAAAGCAATACGGTATAATATTTAATATTCCTATTTCAGGTATGTCCTGTTGATTCAAAAAGAAATTATTAAGAAATTATCATTATTATAATTAGCAGATAATATCAATATGGCTAATAGTGATTTTGATATCAATATTATCGCTATTTGTGATGATAGCATTATTATCCAATATTATTTGCTAGTAATTTCCATTTTTTGACAATAGCAATAGTTTTGATAAAACAATGTAAATGCTATAAAATTTGCACTAATATTGAAATAACATTGGATCCAGGCAAAGAGGATTTGGCAGATTTAGACAAATCTAGCAGAATTATCACCTTACCTTTATCAATATTTGATAAATACATCCCATTGAAATAACATGGGGCTGGAAATAATTAGCAAATAAAAGTGACATTCTGCATTCTAATAAAAGTGACATTCCGCACCAAGGTCTGCATATACTCGTATGTATGATTTATGATTCAACTTTTGGAATTTTCAGGCTGATGCACTTTGACAATATGGAAATAGCAAACTGTTTGTTTATATTATTGACTAACTTTTATTTACTGAACCCTACAAGGGTATACATACTGATTATATTAAGATATCCGGAATCCTGTTATTACCAAAATCACAAATGCTTTGAATTCTAGGAAAGCACTGAGGCTGTAGTGTTACCTTAGAATCTCAACAAATTCTATGTCATTTCAGTGTAGGATATATGTCATAAGTGAATGCACTTGAATTGTAAGCCAGTAGCCAGCTTTTGCCAAGGGGGTTCAGTTTTTATTCAGAAATCCCGGGGGATTTACTTTTGACAATTTTGGTCCAAAAATGGCCAAAATCACTTAAAATGCAGGGGCGGATCTGGGAACCAACAAGGGGGGGGCCCAAATTTCAAGTCAGAGAAAAAAACGTCCGCGAAAAAAAAATTTGGGCCCCTAAAATCCAAAAGTGGGCCCAAATTTTGAAATTTTGAGGCCCATTTTCCTCAAAATTTGACCTGAAATTAAAAAATAAGGCCTTAAAAGGCCCAGTAATCACCAAAAAGGCCCATTTTTTGGATCCTGAAGGCCTTATTTGGCTCAAAAAAATTTTTGGGCCCAATTTTTTTTTTCTGGGCCCACCCAAGGGGGGGGGGCCCCAGGCCCGGCCCCCCCCTCCCCTCCCCCTAATCCGCCAGTGAAATGTGCTCAGAATAGTGAAAAACTGATTGATTTGAAAGAATTTTCCCCCTGGCTATGGGCCTGTTAACCATCTTGAAATGATATCTGGAAAATATTTGCAAGAGTTGTGTTGACATTTATATATAAACTAAGCTATAAGGTGATCATAACTTTGTAGCTTGTAGGTTAACTTGACCATTCTGATATTAATTAATCATTTAAGTCTATATACATGCATCATTTGACTAAAAATAATTGTATGACATGAATTACATCTTCTGTTTGATCACAGTTTCCAAGGAAATCAAATGATTTTTAGCTGTGCTTCACTTTGTTATTATTCCGAGCCTTCGTTGCTTCTTTTTGAATTAAAGAAAACTTTCTTTATCAAAGTGATATCTGGCTTTTAACTTGAGATAACAAAGAGAGGCTTGCATCCTTCTGAAAAGAATTAATTTTTACCTACTTGAAATGAAAAAAATCCTGAAAAATAGGCATGTATACAAGTTTTGTGCCAATTTGAATAAAAAGTCCTACAGAGTCAACTCATCTCATTTCATTGAAAAAGATGAAATACTTAAGAAGGATTCACACATCCAGAGGACCCAAATGCTTATGGTCTCCATCAACTCTCTTAAAACTACATGCTTTTTATCACACTGAAAAATTGCTATATTATTGTCTTGTACTAATAGGTGTGTGCATATATACATGTATATGTATGTATGCATGTTTGCGCATGCATTCGGGTGGGTGGGCATCACAGGAAACCTGTCGTTTAACTTTTTACAGATGTAAGAGAAGACTAATACAAAGATCTTATTAGGTTTTGGGCATACTGGTAAATAACATGGTTCCTAATATATGTCTTGTTGGTGTAAGATGTGTGGATCTCACATAAAGGCATCTAATCACCTGCACTGTACTCAAGGAAGACTAAATCTAGAAGATACGTAAACAGTCCCTTTGGAGGGTTCCCTTCGCACTTGTGAATGGCCTCCATCACTTCATTGTAGCATGCCCTTTTAGCCTCTTTGTATACCTCTGGTATGTTCATCTCATTATATACATCCAAAACTTTGTTCATCTTTACCACATCTTGTTGGCCATAGTTCTCCCTCAGTATCTCAAGTTGGCCTGGTGTTGCTCTCTCAAGTGCTTCTATGATCGGCCATGTACACTTGTTCTCCATGATATCACTTCCTGAAAGAAACATTAATTCAGTCCAGCACGAATACATACAATTGACTCTTAATCATGTCAGTCTCTAATATGAGTCACTATACAGGTCTTTTTACATGATCAGTTATATTATTGACCAATGTAAGCTCAATGAATATAGGTATTGCATTTTTCTTGAGAATGTGCTTTGGAATGTTCAGCTATTTGAATTTTAAAATATCAGAGTGTGATATATATTACTGAAATCATAAAGATTTAAAGATTTTATTAGCAAAATGTATAGTACAATCTCACCAACTTCCTCATCTTCACATGATACAATATAACAAATATATTAGTAATAAAATGACAAAAATGGTATGTTATCTAAAAATGCACAATAATTTTGGATGATTTAAGGATAGGAACTGATGTGAGATGTATCAAGGTAAAGGGTAAATGCTTTTGATTTAATTACATACAGTATACCATTTTAAAACTATTTTAACAATTTTTTTATATACCCTACCTCTGGTTCCATCGTCATATTGATTTTCACTGTTAAAGCAGTTTTGGTAGTCATCTGAAAAGTGCCAAAATATGCCAAGTTTAGTTGCTATGTCTTCAGCTCGCTGCCACCATATTTCATCCTTTACCCCTGCCAGTGTCAGAGCAAAAGCTATCGGAAAGAACAGCCAAGGTACTGTGTTATACGTGTATATTGTTACCATTGTTCCTCTCGAAAGGGCGGTGATGTCTTTTTTTGACGGAGTCATGTCCACATTCTGTCCAATCAAGTATTTTCTTTCTGTGAGTAGGACTCTTTCTACTAGGTCCATGTAGTATGGTTCTTTTCTGAATTCTTTTCGCAATGTCTCAAATACAATAGATTGCATGAAAGATGCATCATTTATCGCCATTAGTCCAACTTCTGGCCTCTTATACCAACATGGCCGACCTTTCCTAGTTTCTTCATGATCCATAATATCATCATCCACAGCAAAACTAGAGGTCTGTATTTCAATACAGCATCCAAGAATGAGCATCTTTCGTCTTTCATCTTCTGTTGGAACAACTGGAGCAACAATACTGCAGTAAGCATTATAGAGAGGCAGTCCAAACCTATGACTACTGAATGGTACATTGTTATGTAACACTTCCCTGAATCGCTTTAGAGATGGTTCAATTTCAGGAGGATAATTAGACAATTCAGTTATGTCACAGATATGGGCTTTTAGGAACTCATCATATTTGTTCACTTCTTTCTCAAGTGCTCTGTTCTTCAGAACAGCACCATGAAGCAGCGTTTGATGTTCTTTACCTTGATCAGCGTTTCTCTTGGAGGATTCCATTATAGATATGTTTCTCACAGCTCTTGCTTGAAGCTTTGACACAGCCATCACTTAACAGGAAAGAAAAAATACATGTATTCATGAATATAAAGATGTAAAAAGATGTAAATGGAACAATATATTGTTTTCAAAAATATTTCATCTAGATCCATGCATACTAGTATATACATCCACATTGATGTATTTACAAAGAGGATTGAAGATATCAGTATCCGTCATTGGATATAAATGATATTTTAGAAAACCATATGATTGTACATTTATCACATGGTACATTGTAGTGAATATTGATGAGAAACCGATTCCAGAAATTGCTCCTGTGATTGATTTTAAATGTGTTCAGCTGTTCAAATGTATTAAAGAGCTGATCAACTTTTAAATTCTAGTGTGACCAATTTGCTATTTCTTGTCATCGCAATTCTAGGAACACCCCTCATTGGTTCAGTTCAAATCTTACAGCTATTACTTTTATTAAGATAGTGGTGCAATTCGCAGAGATAGCTAGAGTTGACACGATTGTGAAAAGTAAAACAGGATTTGATGAAAAAACACTTCTTTTGATGTCTTTATTTCTGTGAAGATTAATGAAGAACGTTATATGGATTCATTTCACTTAATCATATTGTTGCTATATTATTTCAATAAACAGCTCTATGTTTCCTCAATTATCGTGCCACTTACATCATATTTTATATTTTCCTATTTGAACATCTTAAACAAGTTGGAATAATGTTCACTAAAGCGGCTTAAAACAGACGTTAGCAAGTCATGATTATGGTCACTGGAGTCGGCACAATTCATCAATAACCTGACTCTGACATCTGTGACTATTTAGTTATTTACTGTACCATTAGTTTAAGATGGTATCAAATCCTAAGCCTTTTGATCATCATCTTCTGTATTTTTTACATCATGAGTCTACGAAAAGTAACTTAGATAGCGGTATGAAAAAACAGATAACACTGTATAACAAAGCCTAACAAACGATATCATAAGCTGGTCATGATGTTAAATTTCAACTTACCTGAAACTTGTTGTATTAACCTATGAAGAGACATGTTTATTCTTGATAAGTGTGTTTTTCAGAAAAACTTTGCTTATGAAATGTGAAAAAGGTTGTTCAAAATCATGTTCACAAAATAGATGCATAATAGCATTCGTGATACATAATATAATATAATAATTTTTTTATAAAAATCTAAATCTGTCACCTCAATAGAGCACAAAGATATATAAAAAGCATTGAATTATTACCTTGTCACTTCTATAGAAAAAATCCAACTAGGACTTTAGAAATGTATTTTCATTGTGGGATTCATTTTGTATACAGATGTCATATATGTCATATTAGGACATAAAAAGAGTAAATAAAAGGTATTGAAAAGTAGACTAAAGAATTATCGTATTAAATTTTTTTCTTAAACTGTCCATATGAAAATACTGTACATAATAAATTTTGAAATCAACTTTTCCAGGAATTCTCTTGAATGTCAAAAATCTAATTCAAATAAGGGATTTGTGGTATTATGGACACACATATAGAAACTTATTTGATGACCTTGACCTTTGATCATTAGTTATTTTACGCTGAGAATTTTGTTAAAATTTTATGTGTATACTTTGAAGGATATGACACTGTCTAGTGACAATTTGGCTAATTGCAGCCATTTTAAAAAACTCTCTGAACTAGAATCCTTACAAATTCACCTTTCTATCTCCCATACTAAAATACATGAAAAAATACACTTATAGTGGCTCATTTAACATTAAGTCAATTTGTCTTGGATCCTGAAGTGTTCCACTTACAGAGTCAGAGGTATTCCACTACTAGAGGTGTTTTCACAGGTTTCACTTTAGTTCTACTTATGTATACATTGTCACTTTAAAGTGCCTGATAAACTATAAAATGGGCATGCGTCCAGGTGTTGATAAACTATAAATAGCGAAAACCCAGGGTTTGTCATCACAAGGTAAGCCATGACGTGTTGAGCGAACATCTAGTGTTGATATTGAATTTACATGTAGCCAGATAAGTTTCCTTATTGAAATTACATATAGTTTTTAGCAAAATTGTATATCGAGACTGTAAACCGAGAAACTACTGTTGACAGAGACCGAAGGTCGAGGTCAACAGTAGTTTCAAGGTTTACAGACGAGGTATATGATTTTGACGGTTGACCGAATGGAGAGGTCTACAATTGTTTTGTTAGTCAGAAGAAACTAATAGGCACATATATACGACAATCATCAATCATGGCTTCATTTCACAATCTTTTCTCCGAACCACACCAGCAATGATTTTTTACGAAAATCTGAATAGGCCTACAGTGGTAGCTAAACTATCTGTTTTCGGTACATCACTGCGTACACACTTGTAAATTAATGTTAATTTTACGTTTCTTTTTGTATTTTTGCTATACTTGTTGTCTAGTAAAGTCAAAAATATCACTTTCATCAACATTTACAAAATGTCCGTCTACCATGTTTTTTCTGTAAACATTATGACGTCATATTCCCCATAATTCACAAGTGTAGTACAGTAACATACGCGGTCAATAATATGATCTCCCATGATGCACAGGTGAGGTACAGGTGTTGACCGCTAATTGACCAATCAGGTACGAGTATTTACACTGAGGTACTAACAATAAGTTATTGCAAACGACAATTCCGAGCATTCATCTCACTGAAGTATTTTGAAGTGAAGAAAATATGATTTTTGTTTTGAAACATGGATTCAGATGAACGTAACTTCATTCTGACAACTAATCAAAACTGAACAAAATTGATTATACGTAACAGACGATTTATTGTTTTACAATGTTTTGATCGGCTAAACGAATGAAACCCAAGAAATTATGACGTGTAAAATGGCAATTTTGAAATGTAAAATTTAAAAGTGACAAACACAACCTCCCTATCCACTCTTTATGAGTTCGCGATATGAGATTCGTGGTTCGAGTGCAAGGAACGTAGTTCGTGGTATCAGAACTGATGTTCGCGTTGTTGGAAGTCTAGGAGGCCTGTAATATGTACATGCAGCAGTGGTAGTGTACAGCTTATTATCACACTACTGGGCTTTGTATTCTAAAGCTTGTTGTTTTAATAACACTGTTCACTCGACGTAAATGTTTTGTGTGTGCGCAGTCAACGATAATCATTGTTTTATCCCGGTTATATGACCTCGGCAATTATAACAAAACCGTACTAAACGAAAAAAAAAGCAAATAAGAGAAAGCTTTCACACACATATAAAAAAATGAACTAGTCTAATCCGCCAGTATAAACTCTGTTATATACGTAGCCAGGTCGGGCGCACACTTTAATCATTACTGTCTGATTGTTAAATTTATTTTTAAGATGAATGAAGAATTTACTTCCCAATCTAATATATATATTTTTTTTTGATTGGTGAGAAGGGGATCTTTTATTCCATGCTCATTCCACACTTTTCAACAAACTCATGTATTCTATAAATACTTGGCCATCATGACCTTTTATCAAGACAATGAAAAGGTATTTCCTCGATTTGGTGACTGGTTTGTGGTTTTGAGGAAACTAAATATTTGAAATATTTGTGTTAAATTAATTTTATTACCTCAAGACAAAACTATATATGGTTGAACTGTAAAGAAAAATGCAAACAATCAAGCAATTGTACCAAAATAAACCTATATTAGTACATTCTGTAAACAAATTTGTATAGCATAGTTTTTGAACCATTTAGATTAGACTGGTTAGAATGAGTAATCTGTTAGTAACTCCCCCCCACTATATCTTCACCAGAACCTTATGTAAATAAGTAGGGGAAGGTACTATGGCTTAATCCAAAAATATCTTTGAATTATCAGAGTCACCCATATCTATTGCAGTGATCTCTCCAGCATTACAGCAAGTGGCCACAGCACCCACCTGAGATTTTGAGAATAGGCTTGCACCCACCTGAAAATTTATTTGCACCCACTTGAAAATGAGAAAAATCATGAAAATTTGGCATATTTTGACCTATTTTGGTCTGAATTGTGAAAATGAGAATTCCGCACCCAAATATCCTGGGGAGATCACTGTGTAACTGTATTGCTCGAGATATCATAAGACAAAATGTGTTCCTGGCCAAGGCATTCTCAAAGTGATTCTTTTCCAACAACCTATATTATCAATGTTAACAATATTATCAATGTTAACAATATAATCAATGTTAACAATATTATCAATGTTACCTATATTATCAATGCTCCCTACATTATCAATGTTACCTATATTATCAATGTGAACAATACTATCAATGTTACCTGTATTATCAATGTTAACAATATTATCAATGTTACCTGTCTTATCAATGTTACCTGTATTATCTATGTTATCTATATTATTTTTTATTTACATAATCCATTTATATATTTTCAGAGTACGGGAGATAGTCTAGAAGATGAAGATGGAGAGCATGACCGTCACGTGTCACCCGAAACTAAGAGAAACACATCATACAATGAAGTCATAGATGCTGATAACCCACAGACTCCAGAAGAGGTAAATAGTGCAAAGAATAGTGTTACATTTTCAAATGTCAGTTTTGTTAACATTTATAGGTAGATAGTCCAGCATTAGTTAACAAAATTTGGTGTGAAACTTTTCAGATGACCCCTAAGTTAAATAATTTATTGTTGTCCCACCATTACATCTTGATCCATCATTCAAGGTATTATACTTTACTTTATATTATAAGTATTATGATTGAAGGAATACACCGGGTTAACAGTATGACTATTACCCCATCCTTCAAACGCAGGGCTCCAGATGTCATTCACTATGTTCCTTAAAAGTTCTGGAGGCCTGTGTTCAGAGGATAACACTACCCTTATCTGATGTTTCCCCACTGACACTTTCAGTGTTCTCCACAGAAATTTTTCTCAAGCGGGTGCAAAAGTCCCCATTTTCACAATTAAGACCAAAATTGGTGAAAATGTGCCAATATTTCATGGGTTTTTTTCATTTTCAAGTGGGTGCAAATGGATTTTCAGGTGGGTGGCAGCCTATTTTCAACAGGTGGGTGCTACGCCCACTTGCTTTAATCCTGGGGAGATCACTGACTCTTTTTCTCAGTTTCAATTTTATTGATTCGCATATTTAAAAAAGACTTGAAATGTGAACATCTGCTAATCAGTAAACTTTAACTGGTCTCAGTGGTGTTTGGATGAGACAGGTTTTACTGTACAATAAAAACTGTCTAAGTGGGACACCTTTGTTAGACAGGTTTTACTGTACGGCAATAAAACTTGTGGAACACCTTTGGTACCTCTAAAAAGTGCTCTACTTGTGAGGTGTTCAATTTATAGAGGTTCATTTAACATTACAACAGTTGGTCTTGGGACTCTGAAAAACTGTTCCACTAACAGATGTGTTCTACTTATAGAGGTGTTCCACTTCACAGGTTTCACTGTAGTTATATTCATGATTTGTTGTTCAATAGTTGTTTGGTGTTACAAGGTCTTGTGATTATATGATGCTGAAAGGAGCCACAGCAATGTGCAACCTAAAACAGATCCTTTCAACCACATTCTCATCTAATATTATAAAGTAATATTTTAGATTTTTTGTCATAAAGGGGATAACAAATTAGCTTGACGGGACTGTTTTATTTATTATCATCTGTTCAAAATTTGCTTGTATTAATATCTCTGACAGTCTCACACACTGTCAGGGGTTCATCTATTTATCAATATGAAGCCATAGAATAGTAGACAATTACAGACCACTGCATGAAAGAGAAACCCCTGGGTGTATCTAATTTACTGTAAGATGCCTGGTAGGAATGTCAGGGAGGTCATTGGTTTAAAATGCAAAATAGAGAGAAATCCAGCGAAATTAGCAAGGAATTAGTTAATGGGAATATAGCTGACACTCAAAATTGTAAAGAAATGTGAGAAAATTGGCACGTTTTTTAATCCATAGGGAGATATGGAGTGAAATTGGCGTGATTTGAATTGAGGTTTAATCATGGGTAATTGAAGAGATACATGAGGTTATGAATGCATTGAGATGAGTTAGTTTCATGTAAATTAGATTTTTTTGAGTCATCATTCTTTTGTCCCATGCTTAAAATCATCATATCGACCTCTCTCGTGCTAAATTTTTCTCTCTTTATACCGATTTACTATCTAATTTCCTGGATTTTTTTTACAATTTGAGGTATATTTATTGTATGCCTGTTTAATTCATTTCATTCAATTTAGCTCTTTTTCATATTGTTTCAGTGTTTGGTATTCGAACTTGACCCTCAGCTGAAATGTTATCTGCAGGCCAGATGTAAATAACTGCTAAATAGTTGTATTTCATTTGCCAAGTATAACATCTGAATTACTCAAGAATGTGTGAATGAATTGAGCTTGTTTATTACATTCCTTAAAAACACAACTTGATGAAATATGGCAAATAAATTGTTTTTGTGTTGTTTATTGAGCATATAGATGTCAGCACCTGCTTAGTTAATTAATTAAAAACCAATCAATTAGGATATCAATCTGCTGTATTTGAGATCAACATAATATGCCTAAAAACAGTGAAATCTTATATAAGGGATTCAAATGATTAAGCACTTGCTTTTTCATAATGAGCCAATGTTTGGTTTGCTAAATCTGGCGGAAATGATTGATTTGTCCCTTGTTAATTTGCCACATGGCTATCTAATTAAACTCAAGTAGCCTCTCACAGAACAGAAGGGTCAATCTGGCCTCCAATGTATCAACCCTCAAATGCTTCAATAAGCAGGAATGTTTTCCTGAATTTTTCTACTATTTTGAGTATTCTAGTTGTTGGTGTGAAGAAGTGGTGACATATTGTTATAATCTCTAACTTTTTTTGTGGACAGTCACAGGTGGCATTCTGCAACTGGTGTTCACTGTTCAGTGGTAACAAATGGCAGGTGGTTACATTTTGGATGTTAATGCCTTGTTTTAGTCTGCCTTTTCTTTTTCTGCATATAAATATTGCAATTTTAAAATGATAATGGCAACATTTTGTACTTATTAAATTCTTCTGCTCTAATCTCAGAACTCATTAGTTGAAATGTTATGTTATACTGAATGCTTGCTAGGATGATATATAGAAAGGATTCTTATGGTTCAGTTTGCAGTATAAATTTAATTTGAAATCCAAGATGAGCAAGAATATTCCAGGAATGGCAATCTGTTTCATCCGACTCTTTTCTTAGCTATAAATCTACATTGATATAATTAAATAGATTCTATGGTTACCATGGTGCAGGAATGCATTTCACTGTTTCTCTCCAGGTGAGGGGGTTTGTTGTCTCTCTGGGGGTTACCACTGGCATTCTTCCCACCCACATTCCATCTTGTCTCGATTGTGTGTTCCAAATTGGCTGAAATCTGAATAATTCTGACTTTTTGCTGAAAACTTTGCTAATTTTACCAAAATGCCAGTTTTTCCTTATAATTACATATTTACAAATATTTGGATGATGAGATGGAATAAGATTAGCTTTCCAGTTTCCATGGTGATTTATCTTTTCTGGCCTCAGATGTTACATATCAGCACCTCACATCACCATATAATACTTCTGAGAAGAAAATCAAACTTCTCAACCAATCACATCCCTTCTCCAATAACATCCTGGGCTGAGAGAGGCATGACTGACCAATGACTGACCATGTATTGGTTGCTGAACTGGCCTCAGCAGCATAAAGTATATTATCAGTAGCCTACATCTCCATAATGAGCTGAAAAGCAAACAAACTGGGGTCTGGAGAACATAATTTGTCAGCCTATCATCAGCTGTCTTCATACTTCATGCCCTTATCTTCCTTGCAGGAACAGCAGACTTGCTCATAATATTTCACACCTGCATATACTCTCTCCTGCTATTTCACCTCCAAACCTACCCCTAGGCCCTCAATAATTCATTTTCTGTGGTTAGATGTATATAAGATTTCATCACATAATTTGCTCTATCAGATAAAACAAGTAAAATACAAGCCTTATCTTTCCAAAATAGTATAAAAAGTAATTAAAATAAAATTTAATAGTGGTGGGAACAAATATACTAACATCTAGATTCTCTATTGACTAGGTAATCTTTGAAGTTTAAATTTGTCATTCCTTGACTGATATGTCATGTTATGTATAAAACATAACACTAGACTTTCATTTCTAACATTTGATTTGCCAGACCCTATCAGTATCTTATGTTCCTTAAGTTCAAGACAAAGTGAAGTTATGATTTCTAGTCTAGGTACAAGCTCTTGTGAGCCTTGTGGGGGGTCACATGAGCTTGTAGCTAGACTTCTTGGTTTTCTTTAGTAAGTGCTCTTTTCATGAGATTGATATCTTGTGTTTTTTCTTTCAGGAGAGATCATTGAAGGCCTTGGCTACACAAAGAAACAAGAGCCCATCAGATCTTGATGCCGACTTGGAGGATAATCAGGATTATGATAGCACCGTTAGCCAATCAGAGACCAACCTTACTCTCATTGGCAAATCAGCTGCAAGCTCCTACAATACCCAGCAATTCACGTCACAACTAAAGAATCTCCAAGAATCTAGCAAATCTGATCCAAAATCTGCAGTATTGCCTCCACAGGCCAGTCCACTGCATCAAGCCGGAACTACTTTCACTGGAACTACTTTCTCTCCTCGTAGATCAGATCAAGATTCAACTGACAATTCTCCTCAAAGGACTGCTTTTATTCCCTATAAACATATCTCGACAGATTTAAGTAGGTCTGCGGCAGATAGGAACATTGCCAATAGGTACACGCCGTTAAATGGACGGAATAGTCCTTCAATGGCAAGCAGTAGTGCACTCTTGTCTAAAAACCATGAGCTTGAAATCGTAAGTTTTAGAATTTGTGATTAACTGGTCCCTGGGCTAGTCACTGGACTAGGTCTACTTTTCAAACCCTTGAATATATAAATACATTTATACAGAATAAAAAGTGTTAGAAGAAATATCTTACAGTACTATCAGTCATATGGAAAACAAACTCCAAATATCCAAGATTATTGTATAAAGAAACCATGTCCAATTTGAAGAAGAAATTCTGGGCTTTCATTGTACTTGAAAATACAATGGGTGTAATTGGACTTATCCATAGTTATATTTTCAATTGCCTTCATTTTTGAAACATCTCACTTATTCCCTTTTTTAGTTTTTAGTTCCCTATTTGTTATACCTATCTTTGTAGGCCCTTGAGAAGGAAAGGGAAGAAAATAGAAGACTTCAAAAACTCCTAGAGGACAGAGATGCCCAGCTGTATGCCCTGAGGAAAGAACTGGAACTTATGAATAAGGTAAATTGAGCTGTTAAGGCGTGCCTAGTAGAGAATTTATTAGTCATACAATATTACTGTTTCTACTTGTCTTACCTTAATCTAGTATGGATATGATATAAAACAAAATATTTCCATATTTTTTCAAAAAAGGAGACTGAATATTAAAACTATCAATAAAATTATTGCATTTATGAGTTTTAATTTGGTGTCAACATTACTGAAGATAAAAATAAAATTTGGTTCAGTAATCAGTCGAAAATTGTGTAATCAGTAATGTGACATAAGCCCTTCAGTAAAGAATTTGAATCAATTACAAATTATAGAATGATATGTGTGAGATATTCAAATGTATATGCTCCGTGATATGATTGTCATGAATCTTGTTATTTTACTTGCCAGCCAAAGGAGTAAAATGGTGAGAGTTGTCTTGCATCCCTTCTTTTTGTTTGTTTGTTGTGCTACTGTCATAGATTTGAATATCTTGTGTATTATTTGATTATGTGTGTATTAGTTGAATATTGTGCGTCTCATTGTGTATTTTTGAATATATATTATTTGAATATTGTGTGTTTTATTATCCAGCAGTTTTTGTCTACAAATATATTACTTCTTCACAATCAAAGAGAATAGAATACAATTGTTTACAGTCTAGTTATTATACCCTTTCAATTTGATATCACCCTGAATTTTGTTTGGTTTTGGTGAGCCATTTTAGAATAGATAAAGATTTTGGAATATTTATCTCTGTTTGCATGAAGATTGTTTGATTTTGTTGAACATAATGTTAAGTAACTGTTGTGCATCTGTCTATGGCTTAATCGGAAATGTTTCCAAAAAATGAAACAGTTATTTTGACATTGGCTTTAATTCTAATCTAGCAGTTCATCATTCTTAAGCTTTAGAAAGAAAATTGATTCAAATTAAATATCTCCAACATGCGAAATTTTAATCCAAGAATCTACCCGAGAATTCTAATTTTGTAATACTTGAAGCTAAGCTTTTGAAACCATTTTAGTAAGTGTAGTTACTAAGAAGTTCCTTATTCCTTTTTAATTTTTACATCACCACCACCAATTTTGTGGATGGCATTCTGCGAGTGGCAGTCTGTGTTTGACATCTGTAACAAATGTCAGGTGGTGATATTTTGCATGTTAATGCTTTGTTTTATTCACCTTTCAGGATCTTGATGGGATGGACATTGAGAATGAGAAACTTCAGAAGGAGAACAAAGCCTTACTTCGTGCAATGGCATCATTAGATCTATAACATGGTCTGTTTCCCACAGTGTGGCATCATTGGATATGTATTGAATATACCCTTGCTTACAATCAAATCATTGGATATATACTATATGTGCACCCTCGCGTACAATGACATCATTGGATATTTAGCATATGTGCACCCTTGTCTACAATGACATTATTGGATATGTATGTAGCATATATGCAACTTTGTCCATCTTGTGGAACCATTGGACATTTGACACTTATGGATGAAATAAATAGTGTAGGTGCACCCTTGCCTAAACATTGTTGGATATAACATATGATGCCCTAATGCTCTTACCTATAAAAACATTACTTTTTACCTACAATGGCATCATTGGATTATACCATGTGTGCATCATTACTTTCCACATGATATGCTTGAATATATGCCCTTGCCTAATGTGTGGTATAATTGGATACTTTGTCCTTGCTTAACATATACATCATTGGATATTGAGCAAAGATGCACCCTTGCCTACCATAGACATGCTATGAATATATGCCCTATTGTGTGCTATTATTGGATAATTATATTAATCTATGCCCTTGCCTACAATAGTACAATATTATTGTAGATAATATAGCATGCAGGCCTGTAGCCAGAGGCGGGGGATCAAGCACCCCCCCCCCCCTGGCCAAAAATTCAAGAAAAATCAAAGTATTTCACCATTCTGAGCATTTTCAAGTGATTTCAGCCATTTTTGGGTATCACCGTTGTCAAATGTGAACCCCTCTTGAATCTTTAAAAAAGCTAGCTAGGGCCTGGCACATACAATGGCACCATCGGATATATAGCATGCATTTGGGATTATAATTAAGTCACCATAATTTGGGTTTACTTAGAGCTACTCTGGAGTTGCCATGTTTCACTAACATTTGCATTAAATATATGCATGTATTTAACATTGCCTTCTATGTGCCACATTGATACATACATCATTTTACTTTTATTTGCCTGGGTGCCTTGATTTCAAGTTACTATGGCAACCATTTCTTATCTAATGCTTCTGTCATCCAAAATATTTTTTGCTGGATCAATTAAACATTTCATGCTGCACATTCTGAGAAAACTTCATAGGAAAATATTGAAAAGTAAAGAAATTAGAGAGATATTATGAGAACTTTATGATCAACCTTCGTATATCCAGTGATCTCCTCAGGATAAAAGCAAGTGGGTGCAGCGCCCAGCTGGGATTTTAAAAACAAGCTTGCACCCACCTGAAAATCCATTTGCAACCAGTTGATAGTGAGGAAATCATGAACAATTAGCATATTTTGACCAATTTTGGTCTGAATTGTGAAAATTCTGCAACCACTTGAGAAAAAAATCATGTGGAGAACAACCACTTGAGAAAAAAATCATGTGGAGAACACTGTTATCATTGAAATTTTTTTCACTATCTCATTGGTTATAAACTGATCATGTGACTATTGAAAGATGAGCTTCTATTTATCTGCAGCCTCAATTTCAGACTTTGTATTCTGTTTAATATTTTTCACGATAAAGTCCCAGATTTACTTTGTATATATTACCTGACGCGGCCTCATTTTCAGATTATTATACATGTTTATTCCATTTTATACATTCTTTGCTCATGTTAATGATGGTGAGAAACAACAATGAATGAAACATCAAAAGTTCCATTGTTTTTCAGTGAATCTTTCTCTTTGTTATGGATGATAGAAAAGATTATCTTTGTCACATTTTCATTGAATGTGACATTTTCATAAAATGATATCACTGAAATGTGACATTACAAAACATTCACTGAACATTGTCACATTTTCATTGAATGTGACATATTAATAAAAATGATATCACTGAAATGTGACATTACAAACATATTCACTGAAATAGAATACATTTTTTTTGTTTAAGCTCTCCTTAACTCATGATTTGAATATCATTTGTCATACACATTCCCTTCCTCAGCTGAGTATCGATCAGCATTTTACTAGCAAAAGTAATTCATGGAGGATTGGACGATTCTCTCCTTTTCCTGTACTGTACATTGAAATTTAAGCTTTTATCAATTAAATTGACGAGGCACCTTAAACTAAGGAGAATATCATCACTAGATATGCAGCATATCCTATATAGCTCAATGATAAAATTGGATAATGGATAGATATTAGATATATCCCCTTACAAATGATGATATCTTTGATCTATCAGCTTATCCTTTTGGAGGTTTCAGGTTTGGACTAAATGTGATATCCTTTTTGAGGGATAAGACTTAGTGTAGATGTTTCGAAAATGCCTTATTTTGGAATCAACCATAGGATAAATTCTATATTTTGTCATATGTTTCAATTCTGTGTTTTCAAGTTGTGTTCATTTTTAAACTATCACCTATATATATTGGGTGTCCCAAAAAATGAGACACTTTTTGACAAGTATTTTCTCGGCAACTGATGAACCAACTTTTTTAAAAAATTTGTACAAAGTAGTCCTGGAGTATCGTTAGCAAGGTATGAATATGAAAAAGATCAGATAAATGTTATGTGAGTACTAAGAAATTCAAGATAGCATGTCAAAATACCCCATATCGGAGCAATGCAATGAGAATTTCATCGTGTTTGTACCAAAAAATGGGAAGCAATTTAAGAAGTAATTTCTCCGAAAAAGATGAGCTAATCATTTGAAAACTTTACTTGAGGCACTTTAGTGTATCTTCTGCTAGTGCTATGAATATGTCAGAGATTTGCCTCATATTATGTGTGTATTGTTGAATTAAAGACAGTATGTCAAAATAACCAATATCGATGTAAATCTCACTTATTAATTCTTTTTCAAGCAAAATACCTTTCCATATTTATTCCAACAATATCACCTCCAATGAATTTTGAGAATGAATGGATTTGGGATATTTGGGAAGAATGAAATGAATTAAGTAGACATGACACACAGACAAGCTATCTTGACTGATAAACAAATGCTATCACCTGATAGCTGGTACAAACACTATATAACACTCTGAATTTACCTTTATTGTTTAGTATTGACACTATTTTATAATTCAAACATGAAATAAGAGAGGGTCCTAAGTGTGGAAGATACACAATATGAAAGTATAGCAAAAATTTTAGTTTCAAAAGGGAGGCCGTATTGAAATTGCCATTATAGTCAAGAATCCATTCTGCCTTGAATGTATTGCTTAAGGTAGGTGCAACATAGAACCTTCTACAAAAATAGAAAATCTTATTTGGAAAGATATTCTTGACTGAACCTTCCAACAAACTCTGTCATTTACAATAACTATTGTGTCAATGTATCACGCCACAGAGACATCCAACCCGAGTTCCCATACTCTGAGCACCATGTTCAAACCTCTAAACAGATTTGTATTCAATTTTCAATGATAACAAGATCAAAGAAAACGTGTCATTTGCAATAAAGCAATTAAATCACAGGTAACTTAAAATAATGTTTTTCAGAAATCTGTTCATGGGGTATACTATTAGAACATGTGATATGTAAGCAATGAGCCTGATAATCGAAAAAGTATGTTTCGTCTATGTCATTAGTTCAAATGAATATTGCTTGTTAAGTGTTCATGTGAAATAAACTAAGACTATTATGTCATCTATCATTGTTTCAATTTCTTTGACAATGAAAATATAATGCAATGGAAAGTCGCAACAAGATTCAGCTTGAACTTAAATGCACTGAATGACCTTAGTTTTAATCCAAATGACCTAATTTCAGTTTTGATGTGTTCATAATTGATATAAGTAACTATTTTCATATTATTTTCAATATAACCTTTGGGGGCACCTTCAGGTGCATTAGGTAACGGATCCTTTTTGACATGCTATTTTGAATTTCCTATTACTCACAGAATATTTGCTTGATATTTTTTATATTTTTACAACTTGCTAAATTAATGATACTCTCAGGCTATCTGTACAAATTCTCAGTGAATTTGGTGAATCAGTTGCCGGGAAAATACTTGGCAAAAATGTCTCATTTTTTGGGACACCCGATATATACCAGCTTAAAAACTAGACTGGAAAACTGCACTGAAAATATTTATGCACCATTGCTACTATGGCCAAATGTGTATTATTGTTGCTCATATACATGTACCTATCAAAGGGAAATAAAGATTATTCAGAAAATATTTTTGTATCATTTTCTTTGAATTTTATTATGCAATTATTAAGAATATCTGGAGGGCTACATGTAAAACTAGTCCTTGCTAGTCCACATATAAGAAATATCTTGTTAAGTAATTTGGAGTAAGGGATTTGTTAGGGATGCCATATATGCTGACAGCCAAATGCCATTTACAAAAAAAGTTGGAGACTGGTGGAGTGCTGGTGACGTAACGCTTAAAATACCCAGCATGGCTAAAATATATTAAGGATGTTATTTTCTGGAACAATATAAAGTATGATGCCTTTTTCAAAAATGTTTTCTGGATAGAATAACCTTATGTCTAATTTAATTCAAATCATCCCTAATATTTTCAAACAAACTATCAAATACCGACAAAACGTGTTTGATAAACTGCCTATTACATTTAAACTAAACCACTGCCTATTACATTTAAACTTCAAAATAGTCTTATGACTTGAAACAGGACTTTAAGAAATAAACTTGAACGGGCCAGTTTATTGGTTAAAAATGTTATCTGTTTATCACGCAAGTTAGGTTCAAAGAACATTTGTTTGTACAAAATGTATACAGAATTGCGAATAAAATTTTATTTCCTAATCTCATTCGTTTTTAGACATGAAGTATAAACTGTTTATATTTTGGGTATCATTGACTTGGTAAGTTTCTTTTTATTAGTACTTGATCATATATTGACTTTTTCTGAATTTTGAAATTAAAATAATAGTATCACTCAGTATATTTAATATATACTGAAAAAATTGATTTATCTTGTTTATTATCTCATTTGGACGTAGTGAAAGATACAAAGTGACACAAAAAATGCCACCTACTTATTTTAGAATAACTTTCTCAATAATTAAGGAATCTGTGGAATCTTAAGGAACTTTTCTTGTGCAGATCGAGTGTTCACTGGAGAAAAGATCGTCGTACTTGGATAAGCATCAACAACTTTGAGATAAAAGAAAGCAAATATGTGACAAAAATGAATGAATGTTGCTATGCTTTCCAGTCTGACAGGAACAGTTCTGATACGAATTCTGCCTAAAACTGAAAAAGAGGACAGGGGGCATATTCCTCAATTTCCTCCTCACTGGGAAAAGGCCCCAGCCTCACTAGCTGAATTCCCAAGGAGTAACAAAACGATAAATATCAACCCATGGAACTACTTGCACAGACAAGGAATGTACAAGAGTATTATTGATGCAACTGGGAAACAACTTAGTGGAACCACCGAATTAGGTGGAAATTTAAACCTTCTTTGGGGTCTTCCTTTACAGCATGGGTGGCAATTCGAGACTGGGAGGTTGAGAGATTTTACAAATCAAACACTTAGTGGTTTTGGTAGGGTAACTCATTTCAAAGAAAAATCAGAAATCTTTTGTATATCTCCAAAAAGTTGGTGGGCAAGTATGAATTATTATTTGGCAGCTCTGCCATTTCTTGCGGCTATGGATGTAGGGTATTTTGATAAAGATATAAATGGACTGAAAGTTGAACTGAAACCTCCAGATTTTAATGTGGAAAAGTTTTGCTATGGGATCGAACACTGCAAGAAAAAAGAAAATAAATTAATGAAAAGTTTGCTCAATTTCTTCAGCTACCTCAAAAATTGTTCAAAGACACGATGTGAAACTGACAAAGCAGCGGAAAAATTATGGACTGCACATGTCGCAATTATTGAAGCTGGTATGAAATTGTTTGATTGTGAACTTAGACTTCTGTCATCAGCTGAACAAAGATTTGGAACAGGTTGGGTGAAAACAGTCACACTGTTAGCTGCAGTGAGATTCAGAACAAACATGATACAGACTTCAAAATTCCAGGTAAAACCATGGGCTTTCAACTAGATAATTGAAAGCCCATGGTAAAACTAAAACGGTTGGCTCCGTTATTTTTCTCATTTTGCTCTCAAAGTCACCTTAACATTAAAATAAAATTAGATGATTTATGAAGTCTTAAATTTGCACCTTCAATAGACTTTGAAATGTACCTTCTTTTCAAGCATTGATTTTTACTAAAAAGGTTATCAAAGTTAATTGATGATGCAACTTGTTAATCAATTATTTTTAAAGGTGCACTATACTTAAGTTAAAAGAAAAAAAATCATTGAAACATGTTACTCCCACACAAAGTTTGATTTGCTTAATATTGAACCAAGAGAAAAATAACTCACCTAAAAAGGCATTTTAATTTCAGAGATCATTAGACATGCATGCACATGTTAAACAAAGTGCATGTTTTAAATTATTATTGATTTAAAAGATGGCAACACTTCTATAAAAAAATGAATGTATCATGTAATACAAACAACTTCGCCATCTTTCAATGACATTGATAAAAACTTGATATATAAATCTTGACAGATCGAAAATATTTTTTGATAATTTATTGTTAGCTTTGATTTGGTCCATTTGAACTGTTGTTGGTGTTAAATGAAAGATAAGGTTCTTATCAATACATTGGGCATACTCTTGTATTTAAATGTAAGTCTTTATTTTGCCCAAAAATGTTAAAAAATATCCCAAAGTGGGCCTTTAATTAATCACTGACCTGATTCTTGAATGAGAAGTACACTCCCCTCCATAAGTTTGGCAAGCTTAGCTCCCCCATTGAACTATGTGTTAAAGCCTCTCTCCGTTTGAATTTCTATTTACTTAACCTGCGATGAAAATACTTATAATATTGATGGAAATGTAACTTGACTTTATTTCCAATACCTCCAAATTTTTTCAATTTTTTCCTCAATTACAATAGGTCATAGTGTATTTTAGTTATTTTTTGTGAAAATCAATAGAAACCAATGGCCTCCAATGGAATCTGATGATATCCACATGTTAAGTCAAAGTAGCATACCCAATGTCAAGTCAATACATCCTTGCTGAACTTAATGACCTCAACCTCAGCCCATGTGGTTCCAAATGCTTAAATATTTAATTGACATTGTATTCTTTACACCTTAAAATGATTCATTTTGTTAATGGGGAAATCATAATGGAGAATGCACTAGATCCTTTACATTATTAAAAGGTTATCAATTTGAAAGCTGAGAGGTATGACAAGATAAAACTTTTACTTTTACTACTTTCACCTACAATTTATCAATTTCAAAAGCTTTGATATTTTCTGAACAGTAAAAGTACATTCTAAATCAATGTTAATATGGCAATTGCAGAAGCTTGGCCTACCCAAGAGAATCCTATGGGAAACTGATGCTGCCCCCTATATCCAAGACATGTCCCCAACAGAAAACACCTGTTTGTATGTTTTAGACCTGCTTCTATACTTGGGACAAATTATTTGGTAAGCTAATATATAAATGGGTTTTTCACATATGCTTTGTCAAAAATGAGTATGTTTAAATTGATACCATTACACAAAAAAATGGTATTGCATTGCAATAACTGATAATTGTGTCCCCGTTTTCTTGATCTTTCCAAAGTGTCTCTTGCAAAAGACCGATAAGAGTGGATTTCATAAAGCAGAATGTTATTTTTCATTTGAAATAATGATACTAATTAATAACAGATAATACTGTTGTAAATAATCCATATTTCAAAATCATAATCAATTCAACTAGAAAAACAGCAACTCCACGGAGTAGCAAATCCCACCGAACAAAACATGTTTTGATAAAAAAAATTGAGCCAAATTCATCCACTGGTATTTGAATTATCAAAGATTATGTTTTTATGAAACATGGTTGCCATTTTGAAATTCAGCTGTCATCTTTAGATTTCTTTAGCAGAGAATGTTCGTCCAATGGTATCTGGGTTATCAAAGGTTACTTTTTTAATGAAAAATGGCAGCCATTTTGAAATTCAGCTAAAGCCTTTGAAATTTCTTCTGAAGCAGATCTCCTTTTTCCCTAAACATCAGCATATAAAATTGGAACCAAATCCATCCACTAGTATTTGAGTTATCATTAATTACGTTTTTTTTTACGAAAAATGGCGGCCATTTTGAAATTCAATGGCCATCTTGAAAATTCATTTTTGAGCAGAACTTCTTTGTCTCTAGGCATCAGCATATAGAATTTGAACCAAATCTGTCGACTGGTGTTTGAGTTATCAAAGGTTACGTTCTTTTATGAAAAATGGCGGCCATTTTGAAATTTAGCTACCACCTTGAAAATCCCTTCTCGAGCAGAGCTCCTATGTCCCTAGGCATCATCATGTAAAATTTGAACCAAATCCATTCAATGGAAATTGAGTTATCAAAGATAATGTTTTTTATGAAAAATGGCCGCCATTTTGAAATTTAGCTGCCATCTTGAAAATCCTTTCTTGAGCAGAGCTCCTATGTCCCTAGGAATCAGCATCTAAAATTTAAACTAAATCTATTTGATGGTATTCGAGTTATCAAAGATAACGTTTTTTTACGAAAAATGGCCGCCATTTTGAAATTTAGCTGCCATCTTGAAAATCCTTTCTTGAGCAGAGCTCCTATGTCCCTAGGCATGAGCTTCTAAAATTTGAACCAAATCCATTCAATGGTCTTTGAGTTATCAAAGATAACGTTTTTTTACGAAAAATGGCCGCCATTTTGAAATTTGGTGGCCATCTTGAAAATGTCTTCTTGAGCAAGGCTCCTTTGTACCAAGGCAACAGCATATAAAATTTGAACCAAATCCATCCACTAGTATTTGAGTTATTAAAGATTATATTTTTTCCGAAAAATGGCCGCCATTTTGAATTAAGCGGCCATATTGAAAATTCCTTCTCGAGCAGAGGTCCTACACCCATAAGGCATAAGCCTATAAAATTTGAATGAAATCCGTCAACCGGTATTTGAGTTATTGCCCGGACACACGAACGGACGGACGAACGGACGGACGAACGGACGGACGAACGGACGGACGGCTTCTCTATATCCCCCTCGAACTTCGTTCGGTGGGATAATTAGGAAATAATATACTATATCTTAAGTATTATCAGGTCATTTATCATATTCTTGCTTGATATGTTGATATGCTTCGACTTTCTCCAGGGGGCTACATAGTATCCACAGCGAATGATCTGATGTGCAATGAGGCCACAAGGAAGATAGGGCGCGCTATCATGACAGATTTGCTACAGAGCCCTCTTTCAACAGCAAAAGATATAATATCATTATTATGGACTACTTTAACTGGCTGTTAGGAATCTCCTATTCATGAAGCAGCAAAGAAAAAGTCATCGAAACACTTGCTTGGACAAGCTAAGTCTCTCTAGTTTGACACTATCTAAGCTTAAAGCTAAACAGGAACTTGGAGTAAATTTGATTTTTAAAGCACAACTATATGTACACAATTTTACAACAATAAACACTCCAAACTGCACATGTGGATTACCTGAAACCCCAAAACATGTTTTTTCAGATGCCCTCAAAATACTGCTGCATAATGCTTTTTAATAAGTTATCAAGATATAAACCGCAAACTATCAAAAACGAAAACCAAATAATGCAATTTTTGAAATATGGAAGTAACGACCTCTCACCCTTACAAAAGAAAGAACACTTTATAAACGTGGCAAGCTTTATTTAAGGCCATTTAAAATAAGATCCCTTCCATGGTTTTCACCACTATCCCCCTCCTTTCTGCCCTCGTTGAACCAATGACTTGACACCTCTTCATTCTTATTCTTAGCCAGAATCCCCCAGATAGCCACATTGTACTTAATGTACTTAATTAATTCATAATTAGCTCATGTTAGATATATTGTTATCTCCAAGCTTGGCCTATGATGCCTTTTTGGTGATTGGCAAGCCATCTGATGTAAAATAAGATTTATGAAATTAATAGATTACCATATAAAAAAATTTAAAAAAAAGAAAAACATTAATCATCTCAATTCATAAGGCCTTTCTCTCATCTGCCAATGGTGTCACATATGAACTGAAAATGATGAATTTGAGGCGACATATTTTGCGATTATTTGCTACTTATTACTGTAGTTTTAATAAAACATTCATTCTTTTATAACAATACCACATTCCATTAGCATGGCCAATATTTATTTAATTTAATTTATTCATATTCCCATACATTATGTACAATACCAATCTGAAGTTCATTATCAAGTATAAATAATCAACACTTCCAAAAATGGACAGACAGCATTATCAGGACAGATGCCCTTAACAATGTGTAGCCTTGTGTGTGTTGTAGAAGGTATTTGTTGAAATTCTCTAGATTGGCAATTATTGTATCGCTCAGTTAAATAGGCTTAGCCTGGGGGGCCCCCATAACCAATAGAAATAGAACCAGTAGATAGAAGAAGCATAGAGATTTAAAATGCTTTTTATTTGAAGCTTCTAGCTCAATTTTGAAAGAAGTTACATCAATTTTTGTAAAATTCAAAACAATGCCCATACTCAAGGGGCGAGGAGGAAAATTCTCAATAAATGGTGTATAGTTGGTTTGGCAGCATTTTCAGATAGGGGAGAGTCTTGGATGAAACTTCCACCTAGGTGATAGCTTCACAGAGTGGTAGGAAGTTCTTTTTTTTGAGGAGTTAGCCCCCCACCCCCAAAAAACACCCCACCCTGGGGAAAAAATTGTTCACACTAAATAACCTTAGATATTTTGATGTTTGTAAGTGGCATACATAGATATTATATATATGAATCACTTGCAGTATAATTGATGCTGATAACTCCTAAAGAATTTGAAAATTAGTACAAAGTATGTACCCCAGGGGGCAAATTCGTGACTCATTTTCTTACTATTTTGATTCTAACTTTTCAATTAGACACTGTAAGAGGTTAAAAGAATTCATGTGGAGTGCCCAATAGCAGGGTTAGTAACTCTGAAAGATGCAAAGCCATGGAAGAGGTAGGAGCTGAGAAAAAAATTGTTGATTTTTCGAAAAATTTGACATTTTTGACAGCTGGATTTTGTGTATGACTATAGCTGACCCTTATAATTTCTAGATCCATCCCTCTATGATGATATTTATGGTTTAATAGTGTGGAACTAAGATGTGAAACATAATTTAGATGAGTTTTAAATAAGTTAAAGGTTTTAAACAAGTCCAAAATTTGAAAAATTGTAAATATAAGGTTTCAAATTTACGATTTTCAGGTATAGCCATGGCGGACCCCGATAGTTTCTAGATCCATCCCTCTATGATGATATTTATGGTTTTATAGTGTGGAACTAAGATGTAAAACATAATTTAGATGGGTTTTAAGGAAGTTAAAGGTTTTAAACAAGTCCAAAATTTGAAAAATTGTAAATATAAGGTTTTAAATTTACGAATTCCAGGTATAGCCATGGCTGACCCCTATAGGGTCTAGATCCATCCCTCTATGATGATATTTATGGTTTTATAGTGTGGAACTAAGATGTAAACATAGTTTAGATGGGTTTTAAGGAAGTTAAAGGTTTTAAACAAGTCCAAAATTTGAAATATTGTAAATATAAGGTTTCAAATTTACAAATTCCGGGTATAGCCATGGCTGACCCCTATAGTTTCTAGATCCATCCCTCTTTGGTGATATTTATGGTTTTGTAGTATGGAACAAAAGATGTAGAACATAATTTAGATGGGTTTTAAGGAAGTTCAAGATTTTAAACAAGTCCAAAATTTGAAAAATTTTAAATATAGGGTTTCAAATTTACGAATTATAGGTACAGCCATGGATGACCCTTATGGTGTTTTCATCCATACCTCTATGATGAAACATATATTTTTTGAGTGTGAAACTAAGAAATAAAACATACCGAAGATGAGTTTTAAGGAAGTTTAAGAATTTTAACAAGTGCAATGTTTGAAAAATTGAGAAATATCAAAGGAGCATGGAAAGTATTGCAACATATTTCAGACAGTCATATGTTAGATTTTGTCTGTTTCCTGAGGATTTAAGCAGGTGCATATGATAGGCCATTGCATTACCTACAGGAAAAGAACTCTTAGAGATGATAAAATAGTTTGGACTTTGAGACAGCGAAGGTGCAAACAATCCACCCACATGTTTTTTCGGAAATGTTGATTTTCAAGCCCTTTCACCCCTGCTTTTTAAATTTTTGTTGCATCAATATGTTGCGTTTTGAGACATAGTTAACCCATAAAAAGGAATAATAAATTTCTTTTAGATAAAGCAGAAAACAATATTTTCCTGTTATTTTCCCATAGGGAAAACTCATGTGCTCCATTACTTTCAGCTTAATTTTGGTCACCCATATTTGATATCTTTTAAACCCCTGATGGAATGCATTATTTCTTTAAAGGGGTTAACTGTGTGTCAAAACACAACATATTGATGCATGTGGGTGGGTTGTTTGCACCCTGTCTCAAATAGAAATTATTTTATCATCTCTATGAGTGCTTTTCCTGGAGGAAATGCATTGGCCTAACATATGCACCTCCTCAAATCCTCAGAAAATAGCAAAAATCCAACATGTGACTGTCCTAAATCTGTTGCGATACTTTCAGTCCTCCTTTACGATTTCAGGTATTGCCTTGGATGTCTCTCTTTTTGAATGTATGACTTTTTAGCTTAGAAATTAGATGTTGAAAATATTGTGGTCAGGTTTGATCCATGTTACAAGTATTGTTAAAAGAAAAATCATTAGAGTTGAGGACCTTACCCTAGAGCTATAGAGTTCCTAATGGGGTGAGAGGTTAATAAATCCCCCCCCCCCTAAAGTGTAACTGCTCTTAGGGATATCATATACAGTGTGATTGATTAAATGGATTATAACTAATTAATTATTATTTGATGATATTTATTATGTGATATAGCATTTTTACTTTTTCACATCAACATGTTCGATGTAATGTTCTACATTGTCAAAATACATAAAGACATGGTTAATTAAAAGAAACATGATTTCTCTATATTTTGTTATGCCCATACTGTAATTAAGCAATGATCATCTCCTAATACAAGATATTATTATAAATTATCAAATCATAATCACTACACTCCCAATAAAACAACTTGTCATCAGGCAACAGTAATTATTTGGGAAAATAAGGATTATAAGGATCATACCCCGCTGGGCCTAGAAACTCCCGTTAGTGCAATGAGATTAGGAACTCCAGGGTAAAAGGGTCTTGTCACACTAAAATCTTCATGTAGATCAAAAAATTATATATGGTGATATATATGATCAATATGTTTCAAACAAACAGACATTGTAGAAAATGTTTACATACTGACCAGGGGCGGATCTGGGAACCAACAAGGGGGGGGCCCAAATTTCAGGTCAGAGAAAAAAACGTCCGCGATTGTGCTGCTTTATTAAATTTCTTTGTAATCTTTGAAAATTTGTATTATATGACTTGGCCAAAAGGTATTCATATTTTTAGGCAATGGTGTAATTTCTTCTTTGGATTAAAGTTCAGTAGGGGAAGCATCCATTCTTCGCATTCTTTCAGAATCCTTTACTGATGGAGACTACTAGGAGTCTAATGTGAAATCTATTCTTTGGGCTTCTTTACTAGATTTGATGGAGTAGTCAAATATAGCTTTCCAAAACTCCAAATTTCAACATATAAGTTAATCTTAATTTTCCTTTTGTCATAGCCATTGCATCGATCACGAAAGTTTTATCAATTTGTGGTATGATTTCATCGATCTCCATTTCAAACCCCTTTTTAAGTTCTGATTTTACAGATAAGATAGATGATCATTGTCAAACGAACTGTTTGTATCCATATAAGATCATAGTTTACTCACACATAGCTAGGCAACGTGTGTCCAATTCCAGCCAATTCAATACTTCATATAACTGCATTCCAATTTACCAGTACTACTCTCATAAACCCAAGGTCAATTTTAGATTCTAGAGAAAGTAATGAAAACAATAAGCTGATCAATAACATTGACTAAAAATCTATAAATAGCCTCATTGGGAATAGCATGCCAAGTGCTTGAATTTATGTGGATTACTCATTTGGTAGACACCTTTATCAAATCTTAAAGTGTTGTTGATTTTCAAGTTGTACAAGCAAAGTGTCATGGGTGCTTTCTTTTCCTGACATAGTATTAACATTGTGGTAGAAATTATCAAATGCACCTAGTACAGTAGTTTTAGTTCATCATCTTGTATAAATGATATATCATCAGTGAAACCTGTATATCCCAACATCTGACTATTTTGAATACCTACCATTCATCCCAACACCTGACTAATCTGAACACCAACCAATCTGAGCACTTTTCCCAGTCCATTTTTTCCTGCCATTAACTCCTATGTTTAAAAAATTGAAATCTGAACACCTCTTACTTCGAACAGTGAACACTCATATTTGAAAAATTAACCTGTCTAACTTGAACTCTTTTTACCAAATATCACATACTTCTTACAAAATTGCTCAAATATTGTCAGTTTAACACTAGATTGTTATGATATCAAAACTTTTGAATTGGATTTTGGAATGCTATTAAGCTTTTTATGTGGTCAGTATAAATATTATTAATATTTTTCATTGAGAATGCATTCATATTTCTTCAAAATCCAGAACTTGTATTGTAGATGTAAAAACCTCAAAATTCAAATACTCCTAATAAGAATGCTTTTAGCTGCTCCATATACCAGTAGCATTCAGATTAGAGAGATTTTACTGTAGTTCACGACCTTTCACTCCATCTATATGCAGCAGACTAACTGCTGCAACAGGTATATATTCTACACCTGGTCTCTGAGCTATGATATCATAGTTGATACTATTATGCTCATAACCTTCAATTATCAGGGCTCATTCAAGGCTGTACCTGAATAACGTGAATTTGAGACCAATTTTGAGATTAATTTTTCAAATTTTGCACTTGTTTAAAACCTTGAACTTCCTTCAAACTCATCTTAGGTATATTTTACATTTTAATTAAATACTCTTAAAACTATATATTTCATCCCTGAGGTATAGATGTAAAAACCATAAGGGTCATCTTTGGCTATACCTGAAATTCATAAATTTGAAACCTAACATTTACAATTCTTCAAATTTTTTACTTGTTTAAAACCTTAAACTTCCTTAAAATTCATTTTGGATATGTTAAATCTTAGTCCCACACTCTAAAACTGTATATTTAATCATAGAGGTATGGATGTAAAAACCATAAGGGTCAGCTGTGGCTATACCTGAAATTTGTAAATTTGAAACCTTATATACACAATTTTTCAAATTTTGGACTTGTTTAAAACCTTAAACTTTCTTAAAACCCATCTAAATTGTGTATTACATATTAGTTCCACATGGCAAAACCATAAATATCATCATAGAGGAATGGATCTAGAAACTATCGGGGTCAGCCATGGCTATACCTGGAATATGTAAATTTGAAACCTTATATTTACAATTTTTCAAATTTTGGACTTGTTTAAAACCTTTTACTTCCTTAAAACCCATCTAAATTATGTTTTACATCTTAGTTCCACACTATAAAACCATAAATATCATTATAGAGGGATGGACCTAGAAACTAGAGGGGTCAGCTATAGTCATACACAAAATCCAACTGTCAAAAATGTCAAATTTTTTGAAAAATCAACAATTTTTTTCTCAGCTCCTACCATTTCAATGGCTTTGCATCTTTCAGGTTTACTAACCCTGCTATTGGGCTCTTCCAATGAATTTTTTCAACCTCTTACAGTGTCTAATTAAAAAGTTAGGATCAAAATAGTAAGAAAATGAGTCACAAATTTGCCCCCTGGGGTACACACTTTGTACTAATATTCAATTTTCTTAGGAGCAATCAGCATCAATTATACTGCAAATGATTCATATATATAATATCTATGTATGTCACTTACAAACATCAAAATATCTAAGGTTATTTACTGTGAACAATTTTTTCCCCGGGTGGGGTGTTTTTAAGGGGGTGGGGGGCTAACTCCTCAAAAAAAAAAACTTCCTACCACTCTGTGAAGCTATCACCTAGGTGGAAGTTTCATCCAAGACTCTCCCCTAACTGAAAATGCTGCCAAACCAACTATACACCATTTATTGAGAATTTTCCTCCTCGCCCCTTGAGTACCATGGTTAATCATTTGATACAAGTGTGAATTTGGTCCATGTACTTTGTATGTGTAAATGTGTAGATAAAAAGAGAATGTCAAGTGTATAATGTCACAGTCACATGCAAAACAGAGTGTAATGAGGACACCCAAATCTGATCCCTCTGTTCTTCTGCATCATCAAAATAGGTGGGGATCTAAAATTTAAATAAGATATAAGGGCCCAAAACTTGTTTTATTTATTAAATTTACCATTTGTATAAGGTATAAAATTTCAACTTTTCGATGCTGAGTCTATAGAGCTTAAGAATAATGTATAGCCCCCCCCCCCCCCCCTAAAGCCGAGGTATATAATTATATGCAAGAGATATGGAAGGAGCTGCAATAAACCTCCACATCCAGTACAGCTCTTGCCATTCTATTTTCTCACAATTTCTGTTCACATTAATATTCAGATTTCAATACAACATAGCAGTAAAATCTGTCTTTGTGAACACCTATTCTTAGTGAATAGTGAACACCATTTCCCAAAAAGTGGACACATTATATGGAGAATTCAAAGATTAGTTTCAACATTTACACTCTCTATTGCTTTTAATTTCTTGGTTAATTTACTCATTTTTCAACTTTTACATTTAAAATGTGACATCACACGTAATTACAGTAATTACAGTAAAATGGGTTATGTGGAACACTTCTATAAGTGGAACACTTTTCAGTGTGAAATCACCAATTGACTTGAGACAAGTGAAACATGTTTTAGAGTTAGCAAAGGTGTTCCACTTACACAGGTTTTACTGTATTATTATATCTATATATTAATTGTCATCATAATAGACTGTTATAGTAGGGTCTTTCTTATCATTATCTATATGGGATTGTCATCATAATAGTGTCGCTTTCACTGTTATGGTCGGGTCTTCAATGTCTTTCTTACTCTGGATTAACCTAAGTTCTAAATCTGCTGGTCCTGGTTTGATATCTGGTCCAACTTTCTCTGGAAGTACATTGAATTGTTCATTACATTCAAATTATTCATGACATTTAATTGTTCCTTATGTTTTATTAATGAAGGGGGGAGGGGGGTTCAAATCATACCGTCAAACCCCTTTGTACAAAAGTGTTATTGTACATATGTGCCCCTTTTAATAAAGAACATTAAAGATATATGTACATACATTACAGACAGGAGGAACACACAAAGTATGTTATTCCCAGATTTCAGGTAACATTTTGATATGGTCGACATTGAACCAATATATTCAACTAAATAACACAAGTGACAATAAGCTTTTTTATCAGGAAGATTGGGAAATCATGACATTTTGCAAAACAAGCTTGTTTTCTTGCAATGTTATGAAAAATCGCATTATTGAAATTAAGTGAAATTTACCTTTTCATTCCCATCTTGCATATCCACAGATTCAGATCTAGGTTCTCAAAATATGAGCTCTATTAAACTACTTTCACCTTGATGTACATTTTCATTTTTTTGCTTGACACAAGATAATTATTTCACATAACTAAGTTACCTTGGGCGTAATTCAGGGTCCTACATAGAACACACTGCATTGTAGAAATGACTTTTTCACATGCAACCTGGAAAACAATATGTAATCCGTTGTTATAAATCCATCAGATGAAATATAGTATAAGGATTCTGTGTTTGTTATTGGCCATAAATTGCCAACATTGAACTTTTCATATGATAAAAGTCACCTTCATATATGTGAGGTGAATGTACATGTTAATCCCAATTACTGTATATTATATGTTATATAATGCAGAATTGGCATTTTATTAACACTTTATGACCCGCCACATTTTCTCGAGGCAAAATTCCCTTGAACAATTTGAAATTCAATGACTTTTGAGACTTTGAGTTTTCGAAGACATTTAACCAGGAAAAATATCTGGCCTTTGTTGGAATTTTAAACATCTATGACTTTGTATTTTGATTTCTCCAGAGTTTTCACTGGTTCTAGAAAGCATGTGCTTACTTACCTTAATATTGCTCTGGTTGAAATACATATGAGCAAGTAGGAGAGACGCAAAGAGATCGCCTGTTCCAGTGAAATCAGCAGGAAGTCTAGGAATCTCCATGCGTATAGCTGCACTAGAGCCATCTATATCAATTGAAAAACATATCAAGTGAAACAAATATGGTGAAAATGATATAATGAGGAATGAATTAAATGAATCACTTTGGTTTTAACAAACATTCACACTTTAGAGTTATCATTAGTTGTGCAATGGGCACATCCTAGCAGAGCAACAACTGAAGCACAATTATGGTTAAATAGTATGTATAAGTGCCAAAGGGAAAAGAACAGTGTTAAAAACAGTGTTACTTTTAATTTCTGTTTGACTGACATGAGTTTCTGTGATGTAACATAAATTATAAACAAGGCATTAAAATACAGTCACCACTTGCCACTTGTTATAGACACTGAACACCAAACACCAACCACTGAACACCAACTGTCAAACACCAACAACTGAACACCAACTGTCAAACACCAACCACTGAACACAGTCAACAAAAAGTTGGCGACCAAAACAATATGTTACCACTTGTGGTGGTGACATGAAAAAAAATAACAGTATAAATTCTCAATATTAAAGTAGAACTATCATCAACTTACTTTTTATAGTACTGCCAAGTCCGATTAGAACTTTCTCATCGCCTAAATCAGAACTGCTTATAACTACTGTGCTGACACCTTTATTGTGTAGACATGTCATGGCATTTCTCGCCTCAGCTTCTGTGCTGATTTCTTGGCCAGTTAATATTCTGGAATAAATAAATGGAGAAAAATTAATTCCAAATTAAATATACAGTAAAACCTATATATATTGGAACATCTCTCATACTTTTCTCAATGTGAACACTTTTTCCAAAGTCCCACTTTTCAATCTGTCATAAATAACCATGTTGAAAAACTTTGAAATGTGAACACCTGGCAATCTGAACACTTTTGATCAGTTCCAGTGGCATTCAGACAGGTATTACTATGAAATATAAATTGCTAGCATAGTATGTGTGGTATAGTGATAAGACAATTGACAATCAATTAAATGATACACATCAACATTAAAGTGCAGCTAATTGCTGTTTTGCAAATTGTCATCATGCAATAAAAGTGTGAAATTAAACAAAGGTTACAAACAAAATTTATACTTTTTAGTTTTGAAAATAAAGCATAAATACATAAGTACATGTAAAAGCATTAAAAACAGGGAGTTTAAGCTCCATGTTTTTTGAGAGAACTTGTAGATAATTGTGTAGAAATATGCTCCTATGAGAATTTGTTCTCCCATTCAAAATATTTATTTACTTAAAATATTTACTTCCTTAAAAACAATTGAGAGGGGACATACAATTACAGGTTCCAAGTACAAGTAAATACTAGAAAGGGGAAACTTATTGCTAGAGGACTATAATTCTCTACATTGTAGCTTATGCTTAACCTCCTTTACAAGGTCACATAATCCCCATTTCAAGAAATAACAGGGAATATGAATGGGTATTCTAGGCCGTAGATGGAACTGACTTACTCTGCTTCAAACTGGTTAGGTGTGACTATATCTGCTAGTGGTATGATCTCTTCTCTGTAGATGGGCAGGAGTTCCTGAGGGACATACTGAAACATACAATACATCGAATCACATGAAAACATTTTTACTTCTAAGGAACATTTATAATCTATCAATTACATATTAGTTCAACTAGGTGTTAATCTTGACATATGACATGTTATAAATCATGAATTAAAAACAAACTTTTAAATGCTATACTAGTATTATATAATCTCTGTAGGAAAGACATCATAGATTAATTTGATTACTTAAATTGGGTATTATTGATATTACAGTTAAAGCAAAAATAGCAGGAAACTCAAGATACGATGTAAAATAAATGATAAACAAAAACCAACATTTTTTGCAACATATTTCAGCTATTGAATCTTAAACCCGAGACAAATATTAAGACTACAAGAAATATAATACTTAGTCATCAAACAAAGTCTCCCATGTCTCATGAAATTTTAGGATAGCTGATTACATAGTAAAGCCATGTAATACTTCATCTAGTCAATACTACTCAATTGTGCATTTCAACTGAGTGGTATGCTATGTTCAAAGTCTTAACTGGGTGCAGATGTATTTATAATATGGTGCAAGGATTTGTGAAAAATATACAATACGTGCAAATGTATCTATAAAGTGGTGCAAGGATTTGTGAAAAATATACAATACCTGCAAATGTAATTATAAAGTGGTACGAGGCTTTGCGAAAAATGTACAATGGGTGCAAATGTATTTAAACTTGATTAAAGAATATTTGAATTCTTAACTGTGATCAATTGTGCAGGGGAAACACTATAGTTTATTATGTTGAACTTAAGTGTAGATTTAGATAACAATAAAGTGGTTGAAAGATATAATTAGACATGATAAAACATCAGACATGTCAGTTCGGTAGTTTCAGGGAATTGTTTTTATTAACTCCTTTCAACTATTCATTGGTAACATTCAGGGTTCTCTTTGAGTAAAAATAAAGTATAATGGAGACAATCCAAAAATCCTAGATACCAGGTGATTCATAAAAACAAGCATAGGTATAGATGTACAGATTTAAACACATGATATTGGTTAAACAAGACTGTATGGTTGTTGGCCAGCTATTTTGTAGAGAATCCAACTAAACACAGAATAATTACTCCAAAAAAGTAGAATCATTGCAACATATAACTTTCAATAGACTATGATCCAAACTTTTTTAATTATTTTTGAATTCATCAAAATTTAAGAAACTTAAGATCGTGGAAGTGGTTGTGTCTCATAGAATTTTTAAAAGTGATTTTACTTGCTAGGTGAGTAGTTTTTCCTTGTCTCATATCTGCTGATATTTGTTGATGAAACTTCATACAAAGGTGGTAAAAGTAATAAAAAGTTAAAATATGTTTTTGAGTTTTTTGAGATCAGAGTTACAGGATCCGACGCTTTGATGCTATTAGAATATTTGTACAGGTTGTGCTAGATTGGTATTAAGGGAGGTTAAACTACAGATTTTTAAGATAACTTGTAGATGAATGTGTAAAATTTTGACCTCATGGTTGAATGTTCCACTCACAACTGTTTTTCAGAGACCTTAAATAACAACTATATTTCTTTCACCTTTACACTCATTCAGAAATTCAAATACTCTGAAAGAGAGAACTAACCATAGTGGACCATAATTCTAATTTTTCATGTAAAAGTTCTCTTAAAAATGTGTATTAACTTCCCTACTGCTGTAAAAGGTATTTTGGCAAGTTTTCTTATTCACAGGGAAGCCTTACTCACGAGTCCTTTTTGCTGGAAGAGAAACAATAAAAAATATGGTTGTTTTCAACAAACGCTTCCCCTTTAAATTTAAGAAGATTGGATCACATATTATGCAGCGCAAAAAAGACCTATAGCCCAATAGCTATACTGGACATTCCTTGCTAAATTGTTTTAATCAAAAAAATGGAAACCCTGCATTTTCCTTATATCTTTGTCACTTTAAGGTTTTACTCCCTGATATTTCACACATTTGTACATCATTCAATTTCCTACCATCCTACCATATTTCATGACCATCAGACTGATAGTCACAATTCTACAGCACTTTGAATAACATGCTTCAGATTTGGCCATTTGGCAAAACAGCACACTTGTCAATGACCTGAATGCATTCCTCAGCAGGTATGGCCTGAATGACACAAATGATCACACTTTTGAGGTTTGCAATTGTCCTGAGGTCATTCTCATATACTCTATCTCTGCCATATCCCCACAGGTAGGGACATTTTAGACGATGAGTACAGGTTTCCCCACAACGCAATAGTGGCCACTGGTTCTTTAAAGTACTGTTACATTGTGACTATCAATCTGATGATCATGAAATAAAGTAGGCTGGTAGCAAATTGAATGATGTACAAAAGCGTAAAATATCAGGGAGTTATTTTTTTAAATGACAAAGATATGAGGAAAATGGTATCAGGGTTTCGTTTTTTTTGACCACCCTGTAATTAAATTAGAGGGTTGAAAGTTTTGAAATTACAACAAAATTATGATTACTGCGAGATTATTATGTGAAGAATTCTGGCTACAATTGCGGTGGATGTAATGTTAACAAACAATATAGAAGCGTTCAGCAAACACAGAATATACAACAAATATAGAGTACAACAAATACAGAAGAGAACAAAAATACAGAGTACAGTAAATGCTTTTATGTTCAATCAAAATAACCAAAAAATGATTTCGCTCACCATTTTTCCATGGTCTCCCATTACTGGATCACAAACTGAAATCAATAATAATTATGATTATATGTATACACAAGTACCAAAGGAAAAAAACTAAGTGTCCACAAGTCATAAGGAAAACAAAACCCAACTATCCCAAACCATACTCAAACATGAAAAGAAAGAATGTCTAATACTCCCCATCCATTCAAGTTCCACTTCACAATCCAGGCATTGATATTGATATAGTTCGTCCAAACAACGTTTTTAGATCTCTTTTGAAGCTCTACTGAGAACAGGATTTACTTTTTTATTGTAACTTGGATCAACCAAACAAAGCTGGCAATGCGAAAAATTCAAAATGATAAAACAGAGATAGATAGATACTCCTAACTATATGCATCTTGACAATCCAACAGCAAGTTTGAAACATGTAGAAAAATTTCAAAAAATGTCAACGCTATCATGTACAGTAAATTTTAAATGTCCCATGATATATTAATTATACATGTACAATGATATATTGATTGACAACTTGCTAATTCTGCTATAAATATTGTAAAATCATAATAAAGAAAATATATAACAAAGACACAGGGTGAACAATATCGCACCCACCAAGCAGAATGACCACAATATAGCACCTTAGGGTGTGATGAAACCTACCATATATTAGGCTAGGGTTGACTTCTTTCAACTGTTTTACCACATCTTTGATCTTCAGTAGGAATGACTTGGACCCGATGTAACCTGAAAGAATTGTCCAACTTTTATACAAACTCAAGGTGTCCCAAAAATGTACTGCCTTAATAAAAATGTTAATAACTTTGATACATATCAAACAGGCTACTTGACAAGTGAAAGTGAACTTCTGTTTTTAGTTAGACTCACACAGTCTCAGCATTTTGACAGAAAAAACTTCATTATAATGGATTTTTTAGATGATATACAGGCATTTTTTGTCAAAAAACTTTGTAACGAAGCAATTTAACCCTCTGGTGTGTAAAACAATTTATGAAGAATTACAACTTAATGATATGCAATTTTAAAATATTCTAGCTTGTGATAAGCCATACACCCCCTGGGGTGTCTTTATCATCATAACGTAAATATGTTATATATGTTAATATGATTTTAATAAATAAATAGATTTAAAAAAAATATTCACAAGTTTCAAATGTATTCAATGTTAACTGAACTTACCTGTGAGTAAATGTGTATATTGATGTATGTTATTTGATATAAGGCCTTCAAACAGATCTCCCAGCTCTGCCTCATTCAGCACTTGACCTTTAAATGACATGTACCCTGAAAAAATCAACAAAATTTAATTTATCACACAAAATAGGACAATTATTAAAAAACAAAGCAGCTCATAATTTCACAAAGAATGATATTTGTATACTGGTGGGACTTGTGGGATATTGCTATAAGCCCATGAAGACACAGAGTGATAAATATCGCACTTTAAATATCAAAATGGCCACCATGTAATTGACCCGAATAAATGTTGGGAATAGTATGCTCTTGCAGCTGTAAAAAATTAGTCAAGAATGTTTAAGATATATATAATGAAATAGGTAATATTTTTCAATGCTTCACGTAGATATTAATTCTTCTACATATTACTATATAATACATCGTTCAAAATGGAGTATTTGGTTGAAATGGCATTTCCCCAAATTAATTTTTCAATTTTTCTGAAAGTACAGAACTGCCTTCTGAAGAGGAAATAATATGGAAGACAAATTACTTGAATGACGCAGATATTACCCCCACTCAAAATTAGTAGTGGGTAATTGATTTTTGACTCGGAACATTCTGGAAATAATTTGATGGAAACTGTGCTGTGTAAATCGAAATTAATCTCGATCAATAATGCCGTTATTAATTTCCTCTATCTTCTTATCTAACACAGCTTTACTCGTCTCTCGTATTTCATGATAAGAAAATAAGGGTTCAGTATCTGAATATCTTTGAATTGAATAAAGTATTTCTCAGATTAGCGAATTTCTTTCAATATTATATTGTACATACCTCAATGATTCAGTCATCGATTTCCTAGATGAAAATGTTTCTCTGTGTAACCCCAATTTTTTCTCCTGATTTTTTTTAGAAAACCTGATTTTTCTCAAGAATATATATAAATATGATCACCCAAAAAGGAAATTCCAGAATAAAATAAACAAGCACTCAAGGCAAACATTTAAACAAAACAATAAATCATACAAACCCAAGTCGAAGCAAAAACTATAAGTTTGATTTCTACATTCTATATCCAACTCACCTGTATGATTTGAAAACTGCACTGAGTTGATCGTGTCTACCTCAAACCCTAAGACCTGAAATTAAAGGAACCGTGGGTTTATCTAATCAGTAGAAATAATCTTGATTTACGTCATTAAATATTCAAAATTCAGTCAAAGTGATGTCAAATTTGAAATCTACACGTAAACGTTGTTCTAGAAATATCGTTCCGAAAATTGTTTATCAACTTTGAAAATCTAATTTTTTTGGGGAAATGTGACTTCTAGTTAGGGTTGATTCCCAATAGACCCCATGTTACAAAACCACAAAAAGTGAAATAAATTTTCTTGTATTGGACAGATAACATTTCTTTTACTGGACATATTTCAATTTGCATAAATATTAGATACATAAGGGTTATATGAAAAGTGAACCATCAAAACAGATGTAATTTAAGTTAAAGGGAACTTCTACTAAACCCGCCATGTTATTTGACCCAAAAGAGCCACCTGATGGTGAAACTGGTAACTTCCTACTCACATCTGTGTTATTAAAATTGTAACAGTAATAAACAAATTAATACACATTGAGTACCAACATTTTCAAGAACTATGGAAAAATTAAGATGGCTACCAAAAGGTTAATCAGTTGTCATCAACTTGGAACGCTCTAACTTATACAAATAAGAAAATCCAATAGGAGATTTTCCTGGAATCACATTGACAAGATCAGAAAGAAGGACACCACCACAATCACGATAATGATCAAGCGATTATCATGACAAGTATATCTCCCTGATAAATAGATGTGTATCTCATACTTGAGTAGGTTTTGGGTAGATATCACCCGGGAATATATATCATATCTTAGGAGCAGGCAGGATATATTGTACATATTATAATACAATACATTACTATTTTGCACTGTATATGTTCCGCTCCAGGCCAAATGCGGGCAGATATAATATATCCATCCCGCTCCCGGGAATTTTTCAAAAGTTTTAAAAAGTTTAAAAATTTAAAAGTTTTAAATTTCAATTTTAAATTTTTTTAAAAAGTTTAAGTGTTACAATTTCATTGTATTGAACTACATGTAAAGGAATATCACTAAAAATATAAATTGTGCTTTTACAGTATAGGCCTAACTTGTCTTTTGAAAAAGGTGGAACCCCAAACCGACTCATGTATGAGATACACCAGTTATGTACGGTCGGTTTTGGATATAGGGTCTATCCCTCGAGAAATATTTATTTATTCCATACTTGGACGTGTCACAGGTCCATAAAGCAGGTTTGTAAAAAACTATTTTTTCATCGGTGGGCAAATAGCTTTAAGGTCCCACTCCGAGCGGGCAGATATAGTATATCTGCCCACTATGTCATAATCGCGCTCGCATATTGGTTAATTTATTGTAACGTTCGCATATGTAAACGACAAAGAAGGAAAGGAGCATCAAAAACTGGACATGAATATTCAAAAATATTTCCATGGTTGAACTGTGGCCAATTCTGGGGGGCAATTGAACAATGTGTGCCAGATGACCAAGAATGGTATGGGATAAACAGATTATCCTACAGGCGGTTCAGGATATTGGGATTATCCCGAGGCAAATATAATATATCAGCCCGAGGGCCGTAGGATAATCTCTCCCCTTGGTCCCTCGGGGAATATAAATATATCCCTCAGGATATACCTTGTATCCAAAACCTCCCAGTAAATCTTTTCCATTTCTATGGAATCCCCCTTCCATTGTGCGAAGTCCCAGTGGCGGATCCAGGAACCAACAGGGGGGGCTCAAATTTGAGGTCAGAGAAAAAACCGCCCCTAAAACTGAAAAAGTGGGGCCAAATTTTGAAAATTTGAGCCCCGTTTTCTTCAAAATTTGGCCTAAAATTAAAAAAATAAGGCCTTAGAAGGCCCAATAATGACCAAAAGGCCCACCTAAAAAAAATTTCGGCCCAACTTTTTTGTTCTGGGCCAACCTTAGGGGGGGGGGGGCCCGGGCCCCATGGGCCCCCCCTGGATCCGCCATAAAGTCCCCCCTTCACCTCAACACCCCACCCCCTTTCATTATAAAATAAACCCAAAAAATAGAGGCCCCTTGGTAAATCCTGAAGCTATGCCACGGATTTAGTCCACCACTGACACCAGTGCTATGAAATGAAATGAATAAATTTGAAGTTCAAAAATTATTTCAAACATTCAACCTCACCTGCAAAGGGAAAGTAGCACTTTTATTGCCAACATATCCGTGTACTACATGGCTCTGTATAGACAGCACTCTACAATCCATGTCTGATCAATCTTTGATGTGTATTTATCTGGAAATAAGTGTCTTATTGACAAGAAATTATTCGTCATTTGTTCTGAAAATCATTTTAAATTTTCGTAGTATGTAAATTTTACGAGTTAAAAATAATGACAAATAAAAATAAATGGGACGTTACAAAGTAATTAGATAAATAGAAACAACATGAGATATTTACTATATTATGTATTTTAATAAAGATTAGAAAATTAAACAGAAAATATGGGGAAATATTTATTATTTGAATTGAAGTTTGCTGACATATATCTCAGGGAAGTTCTCTCGAGATTTGAAGCAGACCACGGGATCAGGTAGATTTTGTAAATCCACTCCTCCTTTTTCTATTCTCATTGATCTCCTTGAATCTAACGCAAATTAAGGTACGATTGAAGTATGGCATTATTATTGGATGTATGACTCGTTTGTTTGTATATTTTTGGCGCTTGTCATTGCCTTAATGTGTGAAGAATTGCAGTGACAAATATGTCAATAAATTTCATTCATTGTCTGTGTTTGTGACTTACTGAACTTAGCTGGCTCAAAAGCCAGCTGACACACCGTTAGAATATACCGGCGTGTGAAGCGTTTTTCCCCAACTTCCAGCTGGTGCGCTTGCATAAGTAACGGTATTTAGGAAGATAATTGAATAATACGTGCCCTTTTTTTGCCGCGTGGTGTCAACAAGTTCTATTTGTTGTGTAATTTGCAGTTAAATTGGAGAAATTCTGTTCCGGCGCGCACCATTCTTAATTTTTTGCGCATGCGCTCAATTTATTCTCTTCATTGCAATGCCAACGGAAGTTCCCAGAGCTGACTTCTGTCAGCTCGGTAGAGTAGTACTGAACTGTCTTTCTGTCTACAGCTAAGGCACTGTCCATTGAATATTCATCTGAACTAGTGAGCCCTTTTTTGACTAGATCTAGTGTTGCAAGTTGTGAAGAAAACTAGAGTCAACTCTAATATGAAAAAATGAAGCCAGTAGTCGACGAAAAAATGCACAGACACGGGAACAAGAGTTCATCCCCCTCCCACTCACTATTTATTTATTTATTTATTTATTTAGAAAAAATGTATATACAATAATAATACATGACTAATACTGACACCAAATGGCATATAAAAGTATAATGTCAAGTATCAAAAAAAAAGTATCACTAGCAAATATAAAAAATATATATATATAGTCTAACTAGTTTACAAGGGTATATAGGTATATGAGTTTCATATATACAAGTATTTACATGATATAACATAGTACAATGCATACACTAAGCATGTATGTACGTTGTGTTTAAATGATGTGCCATGACTATTGTAATATACAATGCGTGGATAGTAAATAAAGATGTTTAATAAGACAGATTTTTTATAAGTAGCTTGACAAGAGGTCAGATTTGTAGGCCTTTTTAAAGGAGGTTATAGATTTTGACATTTTTGTGGAATTTTTAAGAGAATTCCATAGTGAAGGCCCATTCCGTTTTATGGAAAATTTGTTCGCATGTTCAATATGGAAGTTGTCACATTGGCGGGTATTATAACTATGTGTATCACTGTTTATTTGGAAATTTGTATCGAGTAGTGAATTTAGTATTTGGTCACCATCTTTTACTTGGTACATGAAAATTGCTGTATTCAGCTTATTTATATCATATATATTCAGAAGATTAAGTTCTTTGAATAATGGAGCTGTATGATCAAGGTATTTTTTTCCTAAAACAATGCGAACAAATCGTTTTTGAATCATGTGAATTTTATTAAGATAAGATTTGGAGTTGTTACCCCAAATAATATTGCAGTAATTGAGTTGAGAGTGAATAAGAGAGTAGTATATTCTGAGCAAAGCACTTTTTGTTAAAAGATTATGGACTCCATACAAGACCCCAATGCACTGAGAAATCTTTTTTTCTAAGTTTTTGATATGCTCTTTGAAAGTTAAATTGGCATCAATAGCTATTCCTAAGAAAGATATAGTGATGTCTTGCTTGATTTTGGTGTCATTTATTTTGAGAAAATGATTGTTAGAAGTTTTACCTGGTCCAAAGAGAATCCATTTAGTTTTGTCAATGTTTAAAGAAAGTTTATTGGCATTGATCCAGTCACTGAGCTTTGAAAGTTCTTCATTTGCGGTGTCAAATAGAGTGGGTAAATCTTTGTGAGAGGCCAAGAGATTGGTATCATCAGCAAATAGTATGAATTCAAAGAAATCAGAGGATTTGTAGATGTCATTTATGTAAAGAAGAAATAAAATAGGACCAAGCACTGAACCTTGAGGGACACCATGAGATAATGAGGTTTGTTTCGATTTACAGCCATTAGAAATAACAGTCTGAAGACATTGAGTTAAGTAACTTTGAAACCAAGAAAGGGTAACACCGCGCATTCCGTAGTGTGAGAGTTTATCTAATAATATATTATGATCAATAGTGTCAAATGCTTTTGAGAAGTCTAATGATATCCCTAGTGAAGGAATTTTGCTTTCATTTGCACATCTTATCTTTTCAATAAAAGTTAGAAGTGGCATGTATGTAGACTTTTTCTTCTGGAAACCAAATTGGTTTTTATAAAGTATTTCAAATTTGTTTAGAAAGCTTACAAGGCGAGAGTGTACGCATCTCTCGAGTAATTTTGAAAATACGGATAACACTGAAATGGGCCTGTAGAACTATTAGGTAGAAAAAAGACTGTATTATTTTACATTAGCTATACAGTGACTGGGGGGGGGGGATTTAAATCTTCCTGTGCCTGTGAAAAAATGTGTCTTTTGATGTACATGTATTCATTTCTAGTGATAGAATTATTTTGTGTGAATTCACTTCCAAAACAGTCTATTAATTGATGCCTTAATTAACACAAAGATCTAGGTTAGATCATATTGTTGTTATATTCTTTCAATAAACAGCTCTATTTCTCCTAAACTAGCATTACACTTACGTTATGTTTTTATTTTTCTATGCGAACATCTAACATTTGTTGTAATAAGGCTTGCTATGGCAACTTAAAGCAGATATGAAATGGTATTTTTAACCTAAAGGAATCAATATAATTTTTTGATAAATGTATTTGGACATGTTTTCTCATCAGTAGTGTGAAAATCATTTCACTCCAACGATTGCTTAATAAGCAATATTGGAATTGGTTGTGACATTATTGGCCCCCACGTGATCTCTCACTGGTCCCCACGTGGCCTGTTTTGGTCCATTAGATCATGACGTCATAATGCCAAAATGTTTTGTTATTTGTTTACACAACAATCAAATGGTTGCCGTGACGTTGTGATTACTAAGGAACCAATAAACCAAAGCTATATTTTGTATATGACGTTACTAATCACGTGGGGGCCAATTTGATTGATCAGTTAGTTTTATTTCGTTATCTATGACCGTTAGCAGTTATCTAACATTTATTTTATAATGGCTATCGCAAGAACTCTACGTTGGGCTTACAATGGTGAAAACTGCATTTTTGTAGCTGCAAGTTGAGAAAAGCTATTTCAGTTGTCCTTTAAATGGACTATAGCAGTCGCGATTGTGGACCCTGAAGTCTATGTGATTATTCAAGATCCTCAATGCGTCGATATCACGATCGACTCTACAACTATTTTCTGCACCACTATTTATGACTGAAATGTGTGTTCAGTGAGTCAATAGCATGTTTATCTACATGTATACTGTATACCTTTAACAATGCTACCCAAGATATAAACTTCAGTGTATAGCTGGAATCTTTGATTTATACCTCATGATGAATTGTTCCATTGTGGTACATGTAATATATGAATGATCTGTCGTTTTGTACTATTGTATTCAAATCAGTCAAAGTTACAATCCCTTATATACATGTAAGTTTGGTGACGAGAAGTTTTCATTGGATTCAGTGCCTTTGTTTCGTTATTTTTAAGTTTGGTCCTTCAATACAAAAGTTCAGAAATTGATAACTTTGATGATTTTTTCAAATCACCATGCATAAACAGGTCTTTAATAAGTTATCCTAAAGGGAACTTCCACTTGCCAAATTTATGGAGGGGAGTGTATTATATTTTTTTCTATGTCAATCTTTTCTAAATATGCTAAACTTCAAAAGTAAAGAAATGTTCATTGTCTAACCGGGTTAAAAGGAAGAATATAATTATTATGTTTTAGATATAATTGTACTATTGGTTTCTATGAGAACTAAAATTTTGAAATGCAATTTTCTCTGAACCATTTTCATGCATTGATGAGTTCATTTCTCGCTTATTTATGAATAGATTTTCTTAATTTTTTCGGCAAAAACATGTGAGGATGAATTGGTGTGAATAATCACTTAATAAAAGATACTTGTGACCTCTAAAAGTTTACCCTTTGCATTCGTTTGACTTGACTTCTTAAAAGAGAGCTTCGTCTTCACTCTTTCAAACTAAAAGAAACCTGTGAACTCACCGCGCCAATCAGTGTTCGTCGGCCGAATTTGACCGATGTTCTTTATATGGTCATTCCACGCACGCAGGGTACTAAAAGTTAGTTTTAAATAAATTGATGATTTTTGAACAAAAAATCCTTCAAAAACCACTTTTTGAAATTAAAAAAATAGTTTCACATATCACAATGATAACAGTACTGTCAACCCCCAAAGATTTTCTCGCGGGACAGATTTTTAGACCCAGTGCCCAAAATTTGCGGGATTTTGCGGGACATCTACTAAATTCGCGGGATTTCGCGCGACATTTAAGGGATTTGCGTGATTGCGCTTATAGGCCAATTTTTTTTATCAAATTCTCGGGATTTCGCGGGACCATTCGAGGGACAAACACCCTAATTGCGGGACAGTTAACAGGTTTACCAGCAAAAACTTCATAGAGGGACAGATTTTCTAGAAAAAGTGCCCTAAATTTGCGGGATTTCGCGGGACATCCACCTAAATTTGCAGGATGTCCCGGGACATTCAAGGGATTTGCGTGATTTGGACTAATGTAAAAGCGTGTAAAAGTACTTAAATCAAACTTTCAGATACTGATTAATCAAATATAATGCACCGTTACATTGTAACTTAAATAAACGTCAACATAACTTCACAAAATACGCATAGCATAGAAATATTATTAAACTTTATTGTAATTTATCAAAAACAAAAACCATGCTTCAGGTGTGAGTATCGTAATCTAACACGAAATTCAAAAATTTGGAACAATACTTTGCACTTCTGGCGTCGTGACCAAATATATATGAAACGCTTACCCCCAAAATGTTATATATCAAAATGTACCTTTTCATATACTGTAGGCATGGGCTTTCAATTGAAAGCCCATAATGTTATATATCAAAATGTACCTATTCATATCCTGTAGGCATGGGCTTTCAATTGAAAGCCCATGGTATAGGGGTTCGATTAATCTACATCAAATTATAGGGAATGAGGTTACTTTTCTAGATAGGGTTTGTAGAAAAAACCGGGTACCGGGTAGTAAATCCTCAATGCTGGGTTCAAACTTGGTACCCGGTCGAAAAAACCGGGTACCCAAAAAACGAAATATACGAATATACAACATAATTAGATCATTAGAAAACGTGTAAGATTTGTTTTGAATTTACAAAAATGTATGTAACTTCCTTCAAAATTGAGCTAGAAGCTTCAAATAAAAAGCATTTTAAGCCTCTTTTCTTCCTCTATCATCATGGTCATATTTCCATTGGTAATGAAGGGGGAGGGGGGGGGTGCGATCGCACCATCACACCCTCTCCTGGCTACGCCAATGACATTGTAAGACGATTTGAATAACAAGGCAAATCAATTTTACTCTATTTTCAATGGTTCGTATGTTGGTACGTGAATTGTTTTGATTATGATTTAAATCTGTAAATTGCTATCGTTGCTTTAGCAGAGAGGTGACGTGTGTTAATTTACATGATGCAATGTGTAAGATTTTGATTATTAATCATAATTTAAGTTATCCCAACTGTCGACAAAATGTCCACTGAATTGTCCACTAAATTGTTATGTCTTACAATGTCATAGGCGTAGCCAGGAGAGGGTGCGATGGTGCGATCGCACCCCCCTCCCCCCCATAACCAATGAGAATATGGTCATGACGATAGAGGAAGAAAAGAGCCTTAAAATATGCTTTTTATTTGAAGCTTCTAGCTCAATTTTGAAGGATGTTACATACATTTTTGTAAATTCAAAACAAATCTTACACGTTTTCTGATAATCTAATTATGTTATACTCGTATATTCGTATTTTTTGTTTTTTGGGTATCCGTTTTTTGACCGGGTACCGGGTACCAAGTTTGAACCCAGCATGGAGGATTTACTACCCGGTACCTGGTTTTTTCTACAAACCCTTTCTAGATATCAGCGTCCATTTATTGTAACTCGCGTTTGCTAACATTTGCTCAGTTCTGAGATGAAGGCCACACGGATAGTAAAAAGGCCAACGTTGGAACTAGTTGTGACCTACATCCCTATTGTCGTAATTAAAATGAAAGTTGAACCCTTCCTCTTTATTTTGATACCAAACAACAGCATGCTAGGTACTTAAAATTAGGTAAACTTTACTCCTCAAAAGTGCAAAAACTTAGCTTCTTATATAAGATAAGATAATCACAATATAGGGGATTGCAACAATTTCGGAAATTCGCGGAGGTCGAAAGCCACATTTGTGGGACTTCGCGGGACATTGCGGGACACGCGAATTAGCCTAATTTTGATCGAATTCGCAGGATAATCCCGCCATTCGCGGGACACTTGACAGCTCTGTGATAACATTGGGTAAGACTACAATATATAATAAGCCAAAGTGGTTTAAACTTTATAGGCCTATGGGGGATTTGAAGAGATGTGACAAAATAACTTTGTATTAACTAAGAAAACTTGTATCGGATTTTATTGAGTGATTTTACCCCCTGAATGTACTCATGGAATAAACAAATTATTTTTGATTTGGACTAAAGAGTTCTATCCATGGAGAATGGGTAATATAATATTTTATTCTATATAACATCTTGTCCCTGGGAAATAAACGGAATAGAATTGATTCTGTCATCTTCAGTCAATATGATATTTTCCTTTGCCAATATCATACTTTCCCTCAGAATAAAATTCATATTCTATCCCTCCCATTAAATAACTTCATTAATAATTGTCCCTTGAAAATAAAACCCATAAACAGTCTACATATACATTACATTGAAAATGAAGTGCATTAATATACAGAAATATTTGTGCAATAGTGACAAACATTTAGATTCTTAAATCTCTACCTTTATGTTATATTATAAAGCATTCATTATTAATACTTGACCTACCTTCATAAAAGTTATCTGCTAACTGTCTGACGGTCTACTTGATATGAAATCATATAAGAAGTGTATGTAATAAATGGATAAGTGTAATATATTGATCACCAGATATCTCACTATTCCCAAAGGGTTCAAGAAAAATCAGATTTTGAAATGAAATTCTCTGTTCTGTGTTATATATATGTTTAGGAATTAATATATATTTAGATCATTTCCACTTCCAGAGCTTTTGCCATATGAGGATTGCAGATGTTTTTACAGAGAATATATTTATGTTTATGATTATAAGCAGATGATATACTATAATTGACAAATTATCACCCCCAGTACATGTTGTATTGTCTATACATTATAATTGGTCAAAATACATACAAATCATTTAAATATTATTGGACCAATGCTTTTGCTAAGAAATCTTTGCTGTGTTTTTTTGTGTTATTACAGAAATGTATGAAGAAATTTTCAATTTTCAATTTTGACTGAATACATATTACATGCTGCTTAGCAAATTATGCTCATACCCACTTAATAAACTGACCAATATAGATGTCCATTCTTATTCACACTCTCATGTCATAAGTGCTAAGAGTTTGGCACTTTTAGTAGAATCAAAGGGAAATTCATGAGAGTGAATTCATCAGTTATTTAATGTTATTTGTCAGCCTTTTTATTTAGAATTGAAAGTTTCTCGAGATCTATTTGACATTTTCTGAGAAAAAACTGTTTTTATTACTTCTGAACATAATTTATACTGATTTATTTTACTCTTGAACAACAAAATCATGACATTGATTTCAAATTGGGTTTGCCACAACAACTGCTTTGTAATTGGTCTTACACTAGATGGCTTTATACTTTAGGCATGTCACATAGGATCAAATCCTATCCTAAAGGGCTGATGTGAAAAAGTCACTCCACCCTGGTGGGGATCGAACCCACAACCTACCGATTACATGTCAGGTGCTCTACCACATGAGCTACGAAAAGAACTGACTCTCTAACTTCAACATCAGCAATTTTAAATCTTACTTTTACAAGGGAACTCATGTTTGTCATTCTGGCAAGAGACTAAGGTTGTGCAGTTGTATGTATAAACTAGTGCATTCAAGCATTTGCATAATTATATTGATATTATATTTTATTTTTATAACATATTTTTCTTCCAGCTACATACTAAAAATGGGTCGTTTAGATGGAAAAGTTATTGTGTTGTCAGCAGGGGCTCAAGGCATGGGAAGAGCAGCCGCAGAGGTTAGTGTACTCTATTTTTCTGTCACCACCGAACCATAAGTGGTGACATATTGTTATAGTCTCCAACTTTTTTGTTGCAATGGTTGGGGTTCAGAGTTGGGTGTCTGTAACAAATGGAAGGTGGTGGGTGATATTTTGCATGTTAATGCTTTATTTATTGTAACAGTTATGGTAAGTCTATGAAATCACCTACTTGTCTGACTATCTGTCTGTCTGTCTGTCTGTCTGTCTGTCTGTCTGTCTGTCTGTCTGTCTGTCTGTCTGTCTGTCTGTCTGTCTGTCTGTCTGTCTGTCTGTCTGTCTGTCTGTCTGTCTGTCTGTCTGTCTGTCTGTCTGTCTGTCTGTCTGTCTGTCTGTCCATCTGTCTGTCTGTTTGTTCATCCTTCAGACAAATGAATAGTGGGTATTGTTGACTTATGTCCTTGAAATATATTACTTTCAATATAATTGTATAATTTATGTCATTTATAATGTTTCTAAATTGGATAATATATGTTACAATTGATGATGAGAAGTATAGATGTCAGTTTCAGCTTCTCAGATTTAACAGTTCCCTTTGTACTGGGCCAGTGGAAACAAATGACTCATTAAAGGCCCCATATTAAGTTTGAGAATATGTCATCAATTCACTTTTTTCATGACTTTAACAGTTATTTTAAAGATTTTAGAAAAAGGGGAAAAAGTTATCAGCTTTATATTTCTCAAATATTCAAATATCCTGCCATTTTTCAAATAAAGTATGATTTTTTAATCATAAAATATTCTATTATACAAGTTGCAAAACCCATTCTTTTCTAACACTATTTTGAAGATTAAACATAGGACATACTGTTTCAGTAATAAAATGCCGCTTCAATGTTTTAGCATATTATAAATATTTGCACCCTATATGATGATGTCATTTGTCTGTTCAATCAGATAAAAATGATAACAGGTATTTTCTTTTAGGCATTAATGAAAAAGGGTGCCACTATGCATCTCAACCATCTTGTCATTTATGGTTTATTTCTTTCATTTGCAATGGTATTATACTACAACTAACAGTGATCACATGTTTTTACATTTAGGCATTTGCTAAAGAGGGCGCCACTGTGTACGCTACTGACATCAACAAGGAGAAGCTAATGGAGCTATCTGGTGTAGCAGGTATGTAGACATTGAGCTTATGAGTAGTTTTGAAAGATATCAAATTTTAAACTCAAAGTATAGCTTAAAGCTAGAAACATCCATGGATTATAAATATTGTACCAGTGATATAAAATCTTCTCACAAAAAATACATTAATACTACAAAACTTGCTTTTTTACAAGTGTCACAATGAAATTATGGAGAACTTAATTAAGCCATATTATCTTAATGCACATTCTTTACAGGTATCACCCCAGAAGTTCTTGATGTCACTAAAAAAGACGACATTGTAGCTTTTGCCGCAAAAATACCAAAAATTGATGTACTCTTCAATTGTGCAGGGTAAGTGGTAAACCTTACAATGATTCGCTTTATATTGTACATGGCTTAAAGTCTTCAGGAATTTCAGGAAATTTCAGGAAAAAATTGACCAAAATCTACCCCATTGAGTTCAATACAAATCTGGATTTATTTCTAGGAGGAGTGGGGGGTTTCAAAATTAATGTCATATTTTTTTTTTCCTATGAAAATACTTTTTCCTCCAATTTGAAAGTATTTGTAAAAGGTCTACATTACTCAAAAAGCACTCAATCAAATCTCATTTTTCCAAAATTTCTTAGAGGGAGGACCCGCCAAAACCCACAGCTCATTTGGCCCATGCCTTTAGCCATTCAATTTTCAGGAAATTTGAACTTTGTTGCTTTAAGCCATGTATTGTATAATCTTGCCACCCTTCAACTGTCTTCACCCTACTCTCCCTCTTCCTTTGTTAAAGGTTTTCTGTTGCTTGTTAAATCTTTTCATTAAATCCTTACCCCTTTGATGAACCAAAGAAACTAGGTTATATTGGCCAGATTTATAATGTCATACTTTGAAGGCAGTAAAATTGTAAGAACGGTATTTGAAAATTAGTAACACATTAATCAAAGGGGCCCCTCGTCAAGATACATGTACTCCAGGACCACAAGATTCAAAGGTAGTATTATATCAAACAACATAACAATATAAAATTATTCTTGATTAAAATAAATGTATTCCAAATTCAAGATGGCAGTGTGATGTCGTCATGTTTTCACTTTTAAAAACAACCAATTGGTCCAGTTATTTTGTGTCAGAATTGTTATTCAACCAGTTGTTTTTATCCGAATCATTTGGGGGTAATTGACCATTGTCAACTTTTGCCTGAGAAACACTAGCAATGTGCATATCACTCATACTAGTATTCCGTGATTCCGCGTTGCCGCAGAAAAACCTCAGAAATTTGCATTTTCATTTTTTATGCAGAATTTTTGTTTGGGCACGGAATTTCGCGGAAAACATGATTTTTCCAGTCAACCATCTCATCTCATATTTGTCACTCACCTAAACACCCAAAGACTCCGCTCGTTTGTTGTCAGATACTTGTGTTTTGTCAGATTTTCAAGAGGAAATCTGAAATCTCTTTTAAATTCTCGAACTTCCGCCTTTGCACTCAGAGGTAAGACTGCGTCTAACATAATCATGAAATTTGAAACCCAAGACTGTCTCTCGTAATTGTTTTGCAATAATATGTCTAACATTGCATTATTATATTCTAACGCAATAAATCATGCTTCTTCTTGCGTTTTACTTCGTCATACTCATATATAAATATACGACATCTGAATTTTCTGCATATTGATCTGGAATTTTGTGATAGTTCACAAGTGAGCATTTGGTAAGTTTTGTCGCTAATTAATTAACATTGCATCTGGTGTTATTATCGTTTAATAAAACAGCATGAGTGGATTTCAAGAATTGTTTATTTTGTGGAGAAAATTGTTGATTTCTAGCAAGAATTTCACTTTTTGTTGCACATACTTGTACCACAAAATTTCACTTTTCCCCGTGCAGAATTTGGTGCAAAATTTGGCTTTTTCATGCAGAATATCTGCGCAGAATTTGCATTTTTCTCATGCAGAAAACTAGGATGTGTGGCATATGTCCTCGTACAGGTGCCATGTTGACCATAGCACCATTGTTTGGCTGGCCAGACATAATAATCACTTGTTGTCCACTGTGGTAAGAGCTGGAACTCCTTGTTGTCCTTGTCCAACAATATAGCATGCTTGTTGCAACTGGTGTGTACTTGATCCCTGAGAATAGAACATATAAAAAGAAATAATCATGGTGAAAATTACATGTAGAGCTACATTGTTTAAGGATGTAAGTCACATGATCTGCTCAGTACAAAAAACAATTTATACTTGTAATATTTGCTTAAACTATAGAATCTACAAAATTTTATCAATTTACCAATCTTTCAAATGTTGGTATTATTATCAATTTATTTATTATTAATTTCTCCTCAGTAAATTATAAGGTTCATGCTTCTTGAAAGTTTCCACTAGCTTCTGCAGTACCAATTGGCAGATTTTATAGTATTATGCCTGATGGCCATCCAGTGTTGGACCTCTGAGTCCAACTCAGGAAGAAATTTCCAATATGGCCATTTGTTCAAAATAAGTTTAATAAAATGTAATCTCTCATAAGGCATTTAAATGACAAAATATCACCAACTAGTTGCTCACAATATTATAAGTTCAGTAGATGATTTTGAAAAAAATAGACTGGTCAATTTGAAGCAAGTTGAAAAAATACCTTTTTACCCTGAGATCGTCATTGAAGGTGAAATCTCAAATGTAAAGTCAGATTTGAACTTCTGAGAACATTTAGCCTAGATGATTTTGAAAAAAAATTGGTCAATTTGAACATGGGCTTTCAAAGAAAGCCCATGATTTGAAGCAAGATGAAAAAGACCTTTTTGACCTTGAATGTCTAAAGATTTGACCTTGAGAATGTCATTGAAGGTCAAATATATAGTCAGATTTGAACTGTTGAGAACTTGTAGATAATTTTGAAAAAAAATTGGTCAATTTGAAGCAATACGGTTACTTACACTTGTGTTGCAACAACAGACAGCCTTACAGCAATAGGCTGATGCTGTGATACCCAGCACTGCCTCGACTAGAGATATCACCAACAGTAAACCATTTATAGCAACCTTGGCACAAAAACAGTCTTAGTACTTTATTAATACCGGCCGTATAAAAAATGCAACAAACAGTTATCCTGTAAAACCACAAAACCAGTGATGACTACATCATTTTCATTCAATGTTCCATAAAGCCACTTCCCTCCTCTTTCAAATGGTATGTCATTCATTCACATGTGGTCATGGTTGGCCAAAGTTAACTCTGGACCAAGTTTCAGAATTGCAAAAATGAGTACAAAGGCTAGGTGCTAATGGAAGTTCTCCTGACCTGAATTGTTGTGACTTTTTCTTTTGAAGCTATGTCATGAGCAGAGTGTTGACCATTCATCTACCAGATATTGCAAAACTTCGAGAAATAATTGCCAATGGGGTGCTTTTCTCCGCTTTAAACCCACAGATGACTCACAGCTGAGCCATGATATGGAGAGATGAGTGCATCTTTGTGTCCTAAGAAGTGATGACAATTTGGAGGGGTATAGGATTTATTATTGTAAGAGTATGATTTACAGTCTATATGACACCTGCCACACCTTCTTCCAGGTCCCTATGCTTCATACACTGACTTTTGCTATGTTTTAAACTTGGTCCCGAGCAGATTTTGGCCCACTTTGCGAGATCAATGATTATTTGGCCAAACATGAATCCCTGTGAATGAATGAAATACCATTGAAAAGAGGAGAAATGTGGCTTTGTAGTACATTGAATGAAAAGTTTGTTTGGTCGTTCGTTCATTCATTTGTTTGTTAGTTCGTTACTAAAATGTTTATTAAAGTCTCAAATAACAAACATAGAATATCCAAAGTAAGCACAATACTCATTTTATGTGTCAAAATTTGATGTTTCACCCTTAGGAAAAAAACAACCATTTTTTCCGAATTTCAACCGTTAAAATCCATTGCGCAACCATTACAAATCATTGCATAACCATTGCTGCAACCAATTGAAATGGTTTCCAACCATTACATTGCAACCATTAAAATTTGGTTGAAAACTTTGGTTGCATATCATTGAAATTATGGAATCATTTGCAACCATTACAAACCATTGATTGTTTAAGTTGCATTTAACCAAATGGTTGCAACTATTTTCAACCATATTGTGGAAATTATTTAGTTTAAGAATGAGACAATTTGAAACATGAAGAACATACAAGTAAATTGAATGCATTATTATGTTTCAAATTACAGTAGTTCATGTTTATGGGCATATTATTTCTAATTAATTGAAGGGAATAAGGTTTATTCATTTTTGGCACTGGATATGACTTCAAGTTCATTCTCATAGGCATATTATTTCTATAAAGAATAAGGTTTATTCATTTTTGGTACTGAAAATTACTTCAAGTTCATGTTCATAGAGATAGTATTTCTATTTTATTGAAGAGAATCAAGTGTATTCATTTTTGGCACTGGTCATTCTTGTGTATGTATGTATGTATATATTTATTGCCCTTTATATAAAGGAGATACATGTATACAAATTATGTAAATGTTAAATTGAAAATAATCACTATTTACAAACAAACAATATTGCTGTTTTTGACTGACGACGGCGCCTAGCTACCGCGTAGACGCACGTCGCCGACCAAAATTGGCCTAGCACCTAATTGTAACGCAATTATAAAAAAATGACTATATTTTACAAACATTCATTGTTTTGTTGTTGTTTTTTATACTGACGACGACGCCTAGCTACCGCGTAGACGCACGCCGTAGGCCTAGATAGACCTGTTACCTAACACTCTTGAGGTTAATAAAAAATGACATTATGGATCTGCATTTTCTATAAAATTAAAGGAAGACATACATGCATCTGAACGGCTGCAATTTGTTGTTGCTTTTTTGTACTGACGACGACGCCTAGCTACCGCGTAGACGCACGCCGTAGGCCTAGATAGACCTGTTACCTAACACTCTTGAGATTAATAAATAATGACATTATGGATCTGCATTTTCTATAAAGATGAAAAGGAAGACATAGCATATCATCATACCTTCCCCAAGGTCGGTACTGCAGTACTGTCTGAAAGTATGAGATGCTTTCAATATCTTGTAAGCTAGTAAAAGAAATATACAATTTTTGTAAATTGAAGAAAGGTGGTGTTGCCCTATGGTGCAATTCTAAATTAGTGTGTATAGTAAGTGTACATAAATATAAATACAAATATGCGAGTAAAACTAAAATGTATTTATAGCTGCTTAAGAGATATAATCGTTTGTTGCAAATACGTCAGGCTGCCGCGTTGACGTTGCAACTACCAATCAAGAAAAAACAAACATAAAGCATTGCTCATTATTGTACCTTCCCTAATGTCGGTACACTCAGAATA